TACGACTACCTGCTCCTGCTCCTGCTCCTGCTCCTGCTCCTGCTCCTGCTCCTGCTCCTGCTCCTGCTCCTGCTCCTGCTCCTGCTCCTGCTCCTGCTGCTGCTGCTGCTGCTGCTGCTGCTGCTTTTGCTTCTACCACTACCTCTTGCTACTGCCACGACAACGACGGCGACGACATGTTACAGAACGTCAACTAGCTTGATTAGTTGTGATTTAAGAGAATGGCAGTTAATTGTCAATAACCGTCGCTGCTATTGCTGCAACAGTATGGTCAGATGCCTGTCAACAGTGGAGAGATGTGGGCTGATGCCACGCGGAAGCTGAAGCAGCGGGAGCAGGAGCAGCAGCAGNNAGTTTCAATAGCAGCAGCAGCAGCAGCAGCAGCAGCGGCAGCAGTGGTGAACGAACCCTGGCAGTTTTCTGATGTTTTGGTCACAGTTTCACTGCAATGTGTCCAGTGGAATTTTCGGTCGATTTCACCCCATGGTCAACTAGCTTAATGGCTCCTGCGATGTAGTCGTGCGCAACGGATTTCAGGCTGGAGCCTTTGCCGTTTCTGACGCCGCCTGATGTGCAGAGCTCAGAAATGCTCACAAGTTGAAAGTGGGCACATTTCGCCATGAACTGGATGATCGAAACGTATGCCTGCAGGATGATGCTGCTCCAGACGAAGTTGAGGAGTACAACCAGAAGCTCGAGGAGCGTGAAGTATTCGTAGATCACAACAAGTTTGTCTCCGTGCCTCCGCTCTGCATAACGGTCCAACCGCAGCAGGTTTGCTGTCGCACTACTTTTTGGCAAGCATCAGGACCGAAAGGCCAAGCTGGCACCAGAAGAGAAGGAGGTCAGAACACCTTTAGATTTTCGGATGCAAGTTGTTTCATTGGCTGGCAGACTGAAGTTCGCGAAATCTTCTGCCGCGGGTTCATGAAGAACAAGTGGCCTTCTTGCACTGTGAGCGAAGCTAAAGTGATCCATCCCCAGCACAAGCCTAAGCCGCAAAGGTTTGGACCGGCCTGCTCGCGATTTGAGGCTACATGAGCACGGAGCTGTGACAGTATGTCACGCAGTGAATGAGAGTGTGATCTGCAGGTAATCGCCAAGGAAGCAACTGTCGCGGCTCGTATCTCGCAAGCCGGTGGCCTGACATTGGCGGACCGATTGCGGCCGGCACCTCAAAGCCCCGTATGTGGCCTCATGCAACCACCTTGTTTTCCTGCTGCTTCGAGGCCATATCTGGGTCAAGCCGCTGCAGAGGCATGCGTAGGGCGTACTGTCAATTTCAAGTACGCAGTTTCTTCCGCTGCGCAACGGAAGCATCGGAGAAAGCACGGGAGTTGGAGCTCGTGTGCTGTCGACGCAAAGACTTTTAAACCAGCCTCACGAGCACTTTCAGTCCGAGCGGCCCATGCCAGTGTCGTGGAAAAGACTGTTGGGTTAGGGAAACTCCGTCTTAGCTGCACTCTGCTACCGAAGGCACCTGAGGGAGACGAGCTCGAGGAAGGAGAGGAAGCTCAAGTCGAAACCCAGGACTGTCGGCTGTGCTGTGACATACTGTAGGATGCGATATGATACGATTGTATACTTCGAGACACAGTACTGTAGAAGAGTCGATATTCCACACACTAGGACTTTGGAGATGGACTTCTCGTGACAATGGCGGCCAGCCTCTCAGCGAAAGCTGGGGCGGATTCCCGCTAGACAAATCGGGAATCAAGTGAATCAAGCTGCAAACGCACTCGTTCATGACTTCGCAGTGGCATCACCAAGGCCATCGTAACTGAGCTGTCTGATTTCGTGGAGACCATGCTACCTGCTCAGACCACCTCTGTCAGCTTGGGCTTCAGCACGCAATCGACGCAGAGGCAATTGCCGATTCGAGCCTCAGCTGCTGAGGAGGACTCGGGGCCTTAATTGGCGAAGCATTCCAGGATTCTTACTGCCAATCTAACGCTTGTCGCCAGGAAGCGGCAAGAGCAGAGCTGGAAGAGCTCGGAAAGCCAGCTGTGGACGAGGATGGCAAAGCTCGGGCCCCAACGTTCTGCTCACACGGCATTGTCCTGAGCACAGCAGTGCTAAGGAAACCATCCCGGCCCCACTGCTCATAGTTCTTGGCGGCGGCTCCAGCACGGAGAATCAAGAGGATCCTCGCGGGCCTCAAAATGCTTTGAGCATGTGCTCCGACAGCACAGGAGGTCCTCCTGAAAAAGCTGGAGCTGCTTATAGGGCTCTCACGTTTCGCGGAGCATGAGAAGGTCGGTGGAAAGGGTGTTGAGCAGCAACTGCTGATCTGATGTCTGGGAAGGGTGGCGTGCACGTCTACATCGGTGGCGCCCTTGCGAGCTACGTGCTGTCAGGTGGAGCAAGAAGTGTGGAAGTGTTCTCAATTTCTGTATAATGTGCAAGGCAGTGTCGCTGTCGCTTCTGCAAGGTGTCCTTGGCATGTCGATGGGCGCCAGCTCCGTTGATGATGGTGCGATCAAAGCGTCGCTCAAGGAGGCGTCGGCATGGCACTGCCTCGCCGAGAAGTGCATGCTGCGTGCAAGCAATGCAGGCTCTTTTGGAAGTGATGAGGCCTTCGTTGTCGCAAGATTTCACTCAATGTGAACCGTCGTCATGCTCTTGCCAGGTTGGGTGTTTCGCCTGGCCCTGAGCAAGCCGCTACAGAAAGTGAACTCGCTACATGATACGTGGCTCCAGATACCTTTTCTTCCGGCGCGTTCCATTAGTTGAACGTTTGGCGAGTGGTTGATTTGTGCTTTGACGCTTCTGCGGCGGGTTGCGAAGATTTCACAATTTTTTACAGTATTCTCCGGCAATCGTTTGCACTTCGCGGAATCCGTGTCTGATGTGTGGCTCTGTTCCGTTGCTGCACTCCCTCACGTCGCAAGCGGCAAAACTGTCGAAACTGCCGCACGTGATCATGTTATGCTGAGGATTTCGTTGCCCCTTGATCTCGTGTGCGAGGAGGTCGCCCATGAGGCACCCTCGGATGGCACATGCAGAGTTCGGTGGCAGACTCGATGTCTTGTCACGAGGCCAAAGATGGAGAGGAGCCCGGCGAGCCTCAGGACCGCCCTTGAACTTATGCGGCTCCTGCGACTGACGCAGTATCCAAGGATGCCGGCACTGGACACACAGCATCGCTAGCGGTCTGCTTCCCATTTCCTGTGTCGTCGTTGAGGCTGCAGGTTTTGGTGCTTCGTATCAGTCTTGGGTTGAGTCAGGCCGCATGGCGACAAGTCGCCAGCACGCCGCTTTTCCTTGGATATTCTGATTGTCGTGGGCCCCCTATCCGCTTTTGCAGAAGCAGTTTGCGATACGGCAGGCCGATGTTCGTCATCTGTGGTAGAGGAGTAGAAAATAGTGCGAAGCGGAGGTGATCTCCTGCAGCGTTGCTGGCACAGGGGCAAGGAAATGCCCACCCGGCTTTTTGATGCCTGGCCTCCCTCGGCTTGAAACTCCGGTGCGGGTACAGACGTCTTCGCTGGCTGATGGCCAGTATTCTCCGCGTGTGATTCCTCCGTTAGCGCTTAGTCCGCGAACTTCTCTTAGTCCACTGAGCCCTTTGGCCGACAAGCGCCAACCCAAGCAAAGCTTGCTTCAGCAACGGAAGCAACGCCTTGGCAACTTGCGGCTGGAGACCTCCTGTAACGTGTCCTTGAACCAGCATGATGGACTGAAGGCGAGGTACATTGTCCACGAGTCTTTGGGCCAAGGATCCATGGGCACCGTTTACCGTGGGACTCGAAGGTCCGACCAAAGAGAGGTTGCCTTGAAAGCCATGCAGGCGCTCGATGAAGAGATGACGGAACTGCTAAAGCAAGAATTCAAGATTCTGCGAAAGCTATCCCATCCTCACGTAATCGAAGCTTTGGATTTCTTCGTAGCCGACGATCAGGCAGTGCTGGTCCTAGAGCTTTTTGAAGGTTTGCCGCTATCAGCTGCTGCCAGATCCACGCCCTGTGCGCTTCCGGAGTGTGTCGGGCAGCGGCTATTTAAGCAGCTGACTCTGGCCGTTGATTACCTGCACCACCGTCAAATTATTCATCGAGACATCAAGGGCGAAAATGTACTCGTGGGTCAGAACTTGATGGATCTTCGGCTTATTGACTTCAACAGTGCTAGGTGTCTGCTGGAAGGAGGCTCCCTGACGAATGCTGGCACGCAGGAATATGCATCGCCGGAAGTTTGTAGGGGTGAGCCGCATTCTGCGAGCAGCGATATCTGGTGCGCCGGTCTTTGCCTCTATCTCATGCTGGCAGGGCATCTTCCCCGCAGGGGACACCAGTACAAGAGTTTCGAGGCCTTCAAAGAAGCTGTTTCCACGGAAGCTGTGGTGCTGAAGGGCCGCATCGAGAGTTGCTCCGAAGTGTGCAAAGAAGTGATACGTTTGTGTCTGTATCTGGACATGACAAAGAGACCTTCGGCTGAAGCCCTTCTGCAACATGAATGGCTACTCCCCCGAGGAGGCAAACGACACACAGTGCAGTCCAGACTACCCGTGGTCTTCAGGGGCGAGGCGTTGAACGAAGACAGGCCCGCCTCCCCAGTCTCGCGCACGAGACGGAGAATGACGAAGTAGCGAAGAGAGTCAACTTCAGATCAATAGTCCATAGGCAAAGTAGCTGTCGAATAAGCCCTTCAGAGCTTTTCAAGTTCTGCTTTGATGCGAGGGTGCACTTGCATAGAATTGCAGACCTGCTCCTGCTGGAGCAGATGTCTTTACGAGAGAAGGTTCGTCTCTGTTTTGGATCTTGCCCAGGAAAGCTGTTACGGATCTCCTTTTGCGTGTCTACTCGGCAGAGCTTGAGCAGACGCGGATGTCAATCTCCGAAGTCAGGGAAAACTGTTTCACATTGATAGCTTTACCAGCCATGTATCACATGCTGGCACTGCCCTGTCAAGGCATTGCCAGTCAGTGATGGTTGCAGAATTACTGCATGTTCGCACACGATTGGAGGCATCAAGCAAACACGTCGAATTGAGCTCTACCTTACAGGAGCGGCATGAGAGAAGATGCAGGAGCTGCTGCCTTGATAAGTGAAGCCACAGAAACGGAGCCCAGGTGAGTGCTACATCTCAGTGGACACGCAGCACGGCACCCTTCATCTTCACAAGTGCGAGTTGGTGCCTCAAATACTCTGAGGTTCAGCTTTGCTTTTGCACTGCTTGGCCTGTGCGGGTGTGGCTTCTGCACGCGCACCTGGTCAGGCCAGGACAGCCTCCACATGGTGAAGGAGTCGAAGGCGCCGCTTGCAATGCGATATCTTATATCGATATGCTTGTGGTTCTAAGCCGGATACGGGATCCGGCCTAAAGCCCTTATACCATATGAGCATTTGTGTTTTTGTCTCTGATCCATATGTGTACATATGTCGGAGCGGATGCATACGTAAGTGCATGCGTGGATGTATGCATGGATGTATGTGAGTATGTACGTATGATTACATGTGCATGTATGTTTGTATGCATGGCTGTCTCTGTACTCTGTACATATGTATGTACGCATGAATGAATGAATGCATGTATGTGTGTGCAGGCATGTGCATTTATATGTCTGTATGTATGTATGTACGGATGCATGTATGTGTCGTATGTAATGTATGCATGATATGAGCTGTATGTACTGTTTGACTTGTCTCGTCTAGTATTGTCTTGTCTTGTGTTGTAATGTGGATCGACTATGTATGTATCTATGTAACATGTATGCATGCATGTGTACTGTGCTAGCACGGATGGATGTATGCATGTGTGCATGTATGTGTGCTTGCATTGACGGCACGGTCGTACGTACATTAACGCACATACTTATTACCTTTGCACGCATGTACGGTGGGATAGATCGATATCTATGTCTATGTATGTATGATTATGTATGGGTGTACCTGTTCAAGTGTGTAATCACATGTATCTGTGTATACAAATGTGTACACATGTGCCCGTGTGGCTGTGAAAACAAGGATTTCAGACATGGACAACCTTATCAGGAACAATCCAGGTATGCGTAACGCCTTTGTATACGAATATGCATGTATCCATTCTACAGGTGCACTCATGCCTACCTACACACATACCCAGGTACATGCATACATACATACACATGCATACATGCTCTCGGGTCCCGGGCCCCCATCCCGCCCCCCCGCCCTCCCGGGCTGGTGCGGCTTGGGGTTGCCCGCCTCTGTGCCCCCTATGCACCCACCCCCTATGCTACCCCATCCCTGCCCTGTGTGAAAAGCGGCAATCTGCGCAGTAGTTTCCCGCATCAGACATGAATTGCAATGCTTAACTATGAGGGTTGTATGGCGATGGTGATGGTAGCAGCTATTCTTTTGATACTTTTTGATGGTACTGCTGATGAAGCTGACGACGACAATGATGATGTTGAGCCTGATGTCAAAGATGATCTGATCGTCGACTCGCTTCGCCGTCTATAGCAGCACAACATCATGAGCAGTACCACCGGGCCACAGCAAGAAGGAAGATAAAGAGTAACACATAAGAACTTCCAGAACGGCGGATGCGGGCCGCACGACCATAGTAGATGCAATTGTAGACATGAGTGGTGGTGGAGAAGATCAAAACAAGCGGCCCGGAAGTTCAACGTAACAGCACTTGGGTCACTAATCATAATCGTGACAACAATTACACGTGTTGCGTATTCCAATTCAGTCCAGCCAAAGCCTCAGCTAAGGCCCAAGGGGGGTGCAGAGCCCACCACAACACGAAACCGCAGGGGCGGGGGGAGGGTACCACCACAGGCCCCACCCCACAGGGGGGGGGGGCGGGGGAGGATACATTGGTGGGGGGGAGGTATGTGTGTGTGTGTGTGTGGCAGCCCTGCTTCATACATACGTCCACATGTATTGATACCTGCATGCATATATATATATATTGTATGTATATATATATATGATACAGATATACGCATTCGTACAGATGTAGTATCTCTCGGCAGTAACATTCATGAAATTTACACGCACACGCCTTCTTACGCATTTTTAATAGGATGTATTGTTCAAACATCGCAATATGCATGCTACATCCTTTTTGAACTGCAGTACGATATGAAACAAGAAACAAAATTCAACATCCAACACTTCCAGGTCAATATGGACGTACGTAATGCCACAAGTGAGTCAATACCACAAGTGAGCAGGTTCAGCGCATAGTTTAAATTGTACTTCTTCGCCCTATGTCTAACGAGCAGTGGCTTGGACATACGTGCAATTAATGAGTATGTCCGTCACGACTCTGCCAGACACAACATACCACACCCGATTCGCCATGGGTGTATACAAAGAGAGAGTTATGAAGCCAGGTAATATGTATGTAAGCCCCTTGCCGGGTAGTACATGTCATGTTGCATGGTACACGACATGTGGGCACAAATGACGGATATACAACATACGCAACCGTGGACAAAGGTGTGTGTGTGTACATATACAATATACACAGACGCCCATGTTTCTGTGTGCAATTGTGTTGTACAACATGGAGACATCGCACATTCAAGACTCCACAAAGGGCAGTGTACTGTATCAGACAGGTCGGTATAATAAATTGCCAGGGTCCAAACTATGATGTGGTAGGACATGGGACGTGACGACGACGTCTGTGTGCATATATGTACATATAGGTACATAGTATGTGAACGCACTAGTGATAGACAGAGCTACGTTTTCGTACTGCTTTTGCGGTCGCTGTTCCTTTCAGAGCCAGCAGTGCGTGCGAGTGTTGCACGGTTCACCGCCACTGGTGCCACCTTGATGTGTTCGTAGTTCCTTATGTGTTGATTAGGGTTTTGTGTCCACGGAGGTTTGAATTGAAAGACGCATTGTTTGTTATCTACTAGGGGTTGGCATTGATTGAAAGGTGTGCAGCAGACTTATGGTGGTTACATGTGTGACAACGACACCGACAACATCATTGATGTGTTACTGCATGATCGGTTGCATAGGTGCAAACATACACGCACATGACCATTCGAACGTCCAAGCAGTTTCCCATTTCTGTCTGTACTTATTTTATTTCGTCATCTATATTTGCATCTGCTTGTAGATCTAGACCTATATCTCTCTCTCTCTCTCTCTCTGTCTCTCTCTCTCGCTCTCGCTATATCTCTGTCTACCTAACCTTCCTGCCTGCCTGCCTGCCTGCCTTCCTACGTACCTACCTACCTACCTACCTACCTACCTACCTAACTACCTATCTTTACATATTTATGGGTCATTTCGCCTGTCCACCTGTCGTCTGTTTGTCGGTCTGTCTGTCTGTCTTTCTGTCTATGTGTTTGCTTATCTATTTGTCTTTCTGTCTGTTTGTCTGTCTGTCTCGCTCTCTGACTCTATCTCTTTGTCTATCTGTCTGAAATCAATCCATCCATCTGTCCAGCTGTCCGTCTATCTATCCTTCTCCCTATCCATCAATCAATCTATCTGCTCTCTGTCAGTCGGTCTGTCGGTCTGTCTATCTACCTATCTACCTATGTACCTCCCTATCTAAATTAAATAGCTATCTATCTATCTATCTATCTATCTGTGTATCTATATATCTATCTATCTATCGATCTGTATATCTATCTATGTATCTATCTATCCATCTATCTTATACGAGATGCATCCAGTACGGCCGCAAGAAGAAGGCAAACCACATAAGGTGGGCGTTCAGATAGCATCAGCTGTGTGCAGACCTGCCAGAAGAAGATACCGCAGATGCGGAGGCCTCGTGGCTGTCAAGCTTGGCGTTTCCAATCCCTTCTTCGTTGTTCGTTTATCAGAAGTGATCAGGGTTTGCCTTTCAACCGCAGGCTGGCGAGGTTGCAGCAAACGCCAGTGGCATCCCTGAAGTCTGGATGGTGCGGGACATTGGTCCTGCAGCAGTGGAACAGCTCAGGACTGCCGGGGTGGAGGGGTCGCTTTGACTGACAAGAGCTCTGATGGCGCCCAGGATGCTCCTCAGGCGAAGCCGTGGTGCAATCTGGAATGGAGCCTTGGGCTGCCACGAGGCATGGCTGTGCCATGCCGATTCGGTGACCCATTTCTGTAATGGCCAGGATGCACGCTGGCAGAAGGGCACCCAAGAACTGATCAACCTGATCGAGGGTCGCTTAACCGGCGCCGGCGAGGACCAAACTCGCATGTTCAGCTGAGATAAGTGATTTTCGCGGTAAAGCTTTTGCGCAGTACCTGCGGAGACCAGTTTGCCAATTCAGGCTGAGGAGGAAGAAGATGAAGACGAAGAGGACGAAGAGGAAGAGGAGGAAGGCAGATGTCCGCAGATAATTCTGCTTGCATGGCTTTTCTAATGACTTCGAGCTGCCCGTTAGGTGACGATGACGGCGATGAGGATGGAGAAGCAAAGCCAAGGCAAGTGACAGAAGTGACCAGTTAGGTAACATCCTGCAATGAGCTGTCCCAGCGGTGCGGAGACCGGTTGCCCTTCTGGCTAGACAAAGTAGCTGCTTTCAAGACAGTTTTGCTCCACAGGTTGCTCACAACCGTTCTCCTGGCGAGTTAGCTAGCAGTGTTGCAGCGTTTTGATAGAACTGTGCATGCTTGCATTACGACATGGACGCGGAGATGTGCTGATCTGTAATGAGGAAAGAACCGAAGCTACCGAAAGAACGCCCAGCAGAATTTGAGGTAGCTGCCGTCCTTGGCCTCTTGCTTGGCAGTCAATTCAATGCGGTTCTTTTAAAAGAAAGCATGACACTGGTCACGCAGCCATACACAGCCAAGGTCGTGACAGTTCCCGGCTTCTCTCGGAGATTGCGGAAAATCCAGCACTCGTTGGCAGCTGAGAATCCAGGGCCAAGTGGCAGTGTATCTACAGGGACGTTGCGTCGTACTTATACTTATGTCCATGCTGAGGTTTCGTTTGTCTCGAACACGGGCGAGGTCACGGAACCACGTGTTCTGCAGCAATGCAGCTGTGCAACGTTCTACCGTGCAATCCATCATTGCATCATGCTGAAGAAATGGAGTTACTTCTGTGTGACTATCAACCCCTTTCCCGGCAGGGTTTTCTTCGCATCCTCCGCGGTGCACCATTGCAACGAGCCCAGCACATACCATTATGCTCCACACCACGTAACTTGCAGACGCTTGATGGTCTTGATCGCATCTGTGAGTACTGCTGGCCAAGGCCTGTGTCACCACAGAAGGCGCAGGCAAGCTTGTAGCTCCAAGACGGTGCAGACAAGTGCATGCAATTTAGAGTTTCACTTCTGGATCCTGATTGCGCGATTGGCAAAGCCAGCGTGCAGCAGGGATGTTGTCGATGGGTTTCTGGATCTTAACAAGTTTGTCGTACTAGTCATGTCATGATCGTGTCAGGCTTATCACGCCGGATCATTGCTTCCCCATAGCCGGTGTCATGGAGAAAGCTCTGACCAGTTCTGACCCAGCCAGAATGCATCTAAGCATCACATAGTCACAGTTAGCAAAGGGCATCGTTGCACAATTTGTACTCAACTTGCTAGTTGACGATTGAGAGGAGTCTGACCAGAAGTGCCCATCGCCACCACAGGAGTAAGAAAGTGCAAAAAGCTTGTTCAAACTTGCCACATGTTTCCGTAGAGTCGGAGACTTGGATGTCGGGATTTGCAGCCAACACGGCCTGAGCCGAATGAACGTAGCTTCTCTCGGGCGAATGCATCGCAACACTAAAGTCTACGCAAGGTTGGAACGTGGCAGAGCTGAGCCGCAAGCGTCAAATCGTAGCACTTCAAAGGCTAAGTCACTGACTGGTAGCTGTTGTGTGAAAGGAAAATAGTTGCTATGTCAAGTCGCTAAGCTTTGCAAGCCTCGATGGCCAGCAGCTAGGAAATGCTAGGACGAAATGCGGTGCTCTTCATCGCTTTGCAGCCACTTGTCTTCGCAAACTATAGCTGCGAGCTGTGATGCATTACCTTCGTGACACGATCAGCGAGGTTTGGCTCTCGATTTGCAAACTCCTTCCTGGTTACCGCGACCAGCCTGAATTTGGCGGCTGCTTCGCTGTGCTGAGATCGGGCTTCTAAGGCTGCCAGGTATGAGTTGCTCGAGGCATGGCCCTGCTTGTGCGAATCCTACAAGGGGAGTCTGGGGAGTTCCGAATAGGGGTGGTTCTGTCAGTCGGAGTCGCCGCGGTTTGCGCCAGGCGGGCAGCGTCATGCAGTTTGCCGGAGCGCAAGTGGCAACAAGCCTGGCTCGCATGGTTGCCCAGACCTCAGGACGAGCCATCCGCATCTGCACGTCTTTGCCGCGACGAGCTCCATAGCACATGTGAAAAAGTGGAGGTGTCGCAGATCGCGGGCCTTCTGACGGACAACTTTGCCCTGAAGAAAATGTACGTCGCGACGGAGGCAGCCCAGATTCCTAAAAGCAGCGAGCGCCAGAAGGAAACTCAGCGAAGCAACACAGTCAGGCATGCAACTTGGCTCAGAGCCCAGTGTGAGCGTGTCAGGTTTTCAGGGGAAGCATCCCGAGCACAAGCGCTGCAGGTCCTGGCTCTAGCGATGCTCGTATGTGGCCATGCATCTGGCAGCGTGCTCTTCATTCTGAACATAGGCCCTGTGACTTGTGACAGGCTGTCATGTCCGGTGCTGAGGAGTAGGTGCCGTTCAGGCCTGGGTTTGCTCTACTCCTTCTCACAGCCGGTGACCAAATCTATGCCGCCGGCAGTAACTCCTTCTCGTGAGGACTGGTGGTTTTTCCTGTCTGGCATTGTCATTCCGTCTTCTGGCCAGGATCTTGCTGTCATCAATGGGTGGGATCTGACTTGTGACAAGGCCTCGTCTATGCAGATCCTGCATGATATGTAGCAACATGGGCAGCAGCAAAGTCTAGGTTCGTGCCAGGTGGGCCGCTATTTGGCACCATTTGCCTATGCAATGGCTTCTTCCAGCCATGGGTTTGACTTTGCAGTGCTCCTCAGCTGCTGCCCAAGCGCTTGAGCAAGCAAAGCCGCTTCCCTCATGACTCGCACTGGCGAAGCCAAGGTTGCTTCCTGTACGGCATATTGGCTGTGCTGCGAACATGCGTTGTCGTTTCGGGCTCAACCAAGGGTATTAAGCTGCGCATGCAGCATTTCTGGATCTTGGCCTGGCCAGGTGGTTGAGCCCCCACGAGAACCCTCCAAAATGGGCTCCAAAGCAACTGCCAGCGGCTTGAACGATCCTGCTAAAGTGGCAGCGGCGGTGACACGGCTGCAAGTCATGTGGCTCCGAAGGTTCGCGACAAGTTGGGACGTCTTTTTCAACAGGCCCGGCCGCATGTCGTGGTTGACACTCTGTCACTGCGCATGCGGCTGCATGCCGCGCCCTTCGACCTCAGGTCGCAGATGGCGTCATGTCACTGCGGCGGGACTCCGTGTTGCGTCTTCTCATTCTGAACACACTCGCTGCCTTGATGCAAGAAGCTGCGATGCGTGCAGCGCAGCAACGCGCTGCATACCTGTTTGCGGCTTGCGGCTTGCCACCGAACTGGTTTGCTCCCTGAGGTGACAAACGTGCTGCTCTTAGACTTCGATTCGCATGGTCCGAAGCCATCCGAGGCCGTGTGCTGTGAAGGGAAAGGCACGCTTATTCGTGACTCCTGAGGTTTTCCTTTATCCTCTGAATTCTGTACATTTTCCGGTGCTCTTCAAGCGGCAGCACTGACTGAGCTTTTCTGCTCCACGAGTGTCCGGCAGTTCATGTAGCTGTTGCAAGCTGCAGGGTCGCCGAAGCCGGAGGAGAGCATTCTGCCTGCGCCACAGCTGGACATGCCCGGACCGGACCCACATAACCCAAGTAGCAAAGGAAGCAAGTGCCCCCGGACGAAGGCGGTGGACGGCTTGCTGCAGGGAGCCATGAGTTTCCTGAACATCAAGAAGTACTCCTGACACATCTTGCTTTCAAGCAGAGCTTTGTGTAACAGAGACTTAGTAGGGTGTCGGCACAAGTGCTTTGCCACCTCTGGCTCATGTTTGGCAAAGACCGCCAGGAAGGACATGTGGAGGAACTACAGCGCGTTGGTTTCTCTCGGTGGTGTCGCCTTGGTCTCAGCGCGTTTTGTTTTGCTTGCTTTGAGGTTATCATGTCCTGATGCAGGTGGGCCCTTTCCTGTCAAACGCTCTGTCTGCCTCTGAGCTCTTGCCAGAGAGGAGCAAAGAAGCTGGCGGGCTGCAATAAGACACTGCCAGGATCTACGTGTTGGAGTCCTACTCCACCAGCCACAACTGCTGCAGACTCTGGGTACGGAGCCGAGCGCAAATCGTTTGCGGGTTTTCTCAAGAGCTGACATCCGCTGACCTGAACAGGTCGGCATCAACTTCGGCCTTGCTGGGCAAGTCGCCGCAATGGCTCTCCTGGCCTTGATGCTGTCGGGGCTCCCTGTGGACAAAGAGCCCAGGTCCAGGAGTCCAGGCAACATGCGTATACATGCGTGCATGTCCCAGGTCTTTCAGTGGAAGCCTGGGTACTGGTTTGCTGGTTTTCAACCTCGCCGGCTGCCCGATTGATCTTGTACGATTCTTCTAGACATTCGGCTCAGTCATGCAAAAGCGGGCAGGAATGCCGTATATGCCGTAATATGACTCGTAATGCGTAGTGCAAACATGTGCAAACACCATTCCAGAGCAACTCTTTTGCGGCTTAGGTGAGTGCATGGGTTGTCACCATCTCTGTCAACAACATCGCCAACATCCAAGCAGTTGAGTTGCATGCTCTGCAGAAGTCTGCACAAATCCCTACCGTACCTGCAAATAAGCGAGGTCACCACATACTTCAACTCGATCTCGCAAGAGCGGCTGCAGCAAAACGAGCGGGGTCGTTTCATTGCCGGGTGCCCTAGAGGGCAGAGATCCTGCAAAGCGACCTGCCTAGCTCAAGGGTGGACATGCAACAGTGCCCAGGCGAACATCATGACAGTTTTCACGCTGGGAAGTTCTCTCGGTACACTCATCTTCGGATGGGCAAAGACCTGAGACGCACAAGCCAAAGGTGCCTAAACCAACTTCGTGCAGGAGTCCCATCCGTGCGTGCTCATGAGCTGTCCATAAGGTTCTGTCTGCCACAGCAGATGACGTGACAGGGCCCGCACGGTGCTAAGACACAGCAGGGCGCACGACAGGTTTCCCGATGTTTCTCTTGTGCTCAAAGCCCAGTGACTGATGCGGGATCTGAATCAGACGGCGGCTAGAAGATGCGTGAGCAGCCTGACATGACTTGGAGCTCGCACCAGGTAAACCTGCTCTTTTGCGGTTTGCTGATAAAGATGGTCTTGCTGGTGGGCTGCCCGGCTTCGGGTGTTTGATCTCGTTGAACAGGAAATCAGCTTGCAACAAACCTCTGTCCTGGCCAGGTGCTCCTGCGGAGGGCAGGACAAGGTTCTTTTTCAGGCACGCTGGGATGCTCCTCTGCAACGTTGGAACCGTTTTGCCCACGAAGCTCTACCAGTAGCATCCAGTAGCAATCAGGCTTGTTGCATGGGACATCATGGGATCCCTTTCCCTCCCATTGTGAGTATTTTTTGAACATCGTCTTGAAGGGTACATGGACTCAGAAGTCTTGCGTTCGAAGCAGTACCGTGCCGAACCGGTGCGGGGCTTGTGCTTGCTGCAGAAATGCTCTGACATGAAGTGCGATGCAGGATCAGTCCGCCCACATGCTGAGTGACGTGGCATGAGCAGTGAGCAACCGCAAAGCAGACGAGCCCAAGATGTGACGAGCATGAATAAAGCCGGTTCATCTTCTTTCCTGAAGCAGCTGTCCAAGTTGAAGGTGTGCTACTACCGGAAAACTATCCAAGCAGGGGTTGCGCAACCTCTCAAGTTGTCGGTGCTTGGCATGGCATGCAGAGTCCAAGCCAAAGATTCGCCAGACTCGCTTTAACATGCAAAAGGCCATAATGTGCCGCAGATGCCAATTGGCTGCTTCATTCGCCTTGTGAGCACAAGTTTGTACCTGCTTGCTGCCCCCTTGGCCCAAGTTCAAGCAGCATGCCACCCCAGACGCAACTACGAGTGGGGGCTCCATGTCTTGATAGGTCTCATGCAGCGAGCAAATGGACATGTGACAACGCGTCAAGACCTCCAGCCACTGCCACTCCGAAACAGTCTAGCCGAGTCTAGCCGCTAGCCACAGTTGTGCCCGTTGAAGACTGGTTGCGGTTCCAGTGCCAGCATGGCAGGGTACTGAGAACTTCAAAAGCGCCAGCACTTCCTAGATGCGTCTGTCACTGGAGGCAACCCCCTCGGCGAACTCGCGGAAGCGAAAGGCCGATGAGGAGCTGAAGAGTCGAGCTCTGTTGCCTCCTGTTGCCGGAATTCCGTGACGGATTGTAGGCTTTTTTGAGCTTGGCATTGTTGAGGAAAGCAGTTGCACATTATACATCATTGTAGTTTTCATCGGGAACAAGGAAGAACAAAAAAATGGAAGCGCCGAACCGGTTAAGTCGTTGATGCCACCCCATCTGTTCGTTTGGACATCCACCCGCGGCTTAACCGCATGTGCTTCAGCAGCTGCTTCCCGACAAGGAGCCACCAGAGCTGCAGCGCTGACCTCAAGCACGCAAATGGGTACCCTATTTGGGGATCGTTAAATTACAACAAAGATCCCTTGATGTGGTGTTTATGTCATGGTCCGGTGCTTTTTGTGAGACTCCCAAATGTTCTAAATTACTGCTTCACACTCGACGTGTCTGGCACCTTAGGACCCGGACGTATACTGTGCAGCGCGTGTTGGGCAAAGGATCCTTCGGCGTGGTGTACCAGGCAAACTTCGGACATCTGCCAATTGCCATTTCCACCATGATTGGTAGCCTGAAGATTTTGTGAAGCTGCGTCTGATCATGCTAGTTTCGACTGTGCAAGCTAAGACCAGGCTATGTATCTGGATTCAGGCAGCATGAAAGCGTGTCAGCTTGGTTGACAAGCCAAGCTATAAGTTCACAATGAAGCAGCTGTCATTTAAGCTTGGGTTGGTTGACTTGCTTGGGCCTGAACATCATGGCCTCCTGGTACTAACCCGGAACAGCTGTAGCCATGTCGGGCACGGTCAGACTGTGTGGATTTTGAGCGCTTTTCCAACCGCCATAACCTGGGCCAGGGAATAACTCGCTGAGTGTGCCAGTGCCGTTGTGCTGCAGCCCTGTCGATGCAGGCGCAGGTTCTCGAAACCGGGGAGACGGCCGCAAGCCATGTCGTGTCAATCCCACGGCTAGACCGCGCGAGTAAACTGTGCCAGGTAGCCATAAAGTCGATCCGTATGCAGGAGAAGGATCGGGAGGCTACCAGTGCACAGGATTTTGTTGTTGCCAGTAGTTGGCAAATTGATCAAGCAGGTCCAGATTCTGAAGGAGCTGGACGGGCACCCGAACATCGTGACTTTGCCGGTTGCCCAAGTCGAAAGAGCCATGCAGAGTCGCCACCTGCCGCTTTGGCTGAGTATGTTTGAATGCAGGCACGGTGCATTCCTCAGCGACGAGGGCACCACGACGAACGGTGGCACCAGGCACGGCCTCTCCTTTTTCGAAGCCAACTCCACCCAACTACGTTGAGACGAGAAGACAGAGATGCCTTTGAGATGCATTCATGGCGAAGCGCGATAGCGACAATTCGCGCAGGCTCAATCTGGTGCTGGAGTATCTTTCTGACACGTTGCACCGAGTGTGAAGCTGAGCACGATCTGCACAGACTCGATCTCCACGTGTACCCAAGGGCAAAAAGCGCTGGTGTTCGTGCAGGTGATCAAGCACTACAACACGACAAACAGCAAGATGGCCGGTAGCACAGCTTGGTAGGAAGTTGTCCACTTACAACTGCCTGCGGGGAATTGGCCCAACCTGCAAACTTCAGGGTGAATGGGCGTGGCGCTAGAGAAGTGTCGGTGTGGCTTTCTGCCCACCAGAGTTCCGAATTTTGGTTGGACAGCGAACCCCCCCTGGTGACAGCAGCTCGAAGCCGAGCTGGCGGTCTGATGCGATGCCCTTTGTCTCAGGATGCTTTCTACGTGAAGCTCTACCAGTTTCAGCTCATGCGAGGCAGGTTTCCGATTGAAATCAAGCCACAGCTGGGCTGCGAACAGCCTTGTGTCATCAGAACCTGGAATCATTTTGACGTCTTGGTTCCTACACCGACATAAAGAGCTTGCTGCCTAAGAAAGTTCACGAGGAGACGTACCTGCCGCACTCATGCCGCTTTTTGGAAGCCCAGCCGGCATGAGGAGTCGGAGTGCAGTGTTTTGGGACCTCGCGTGCAGGCCTTGCCTTCGTCCATGGTCGTGGCATCGCACATTGCGACTTGAAGCCGCCAGAAGCCCATCAGTCAAAGTCGCAAGGCGCTTCGACCTTAAATGTCTCATTCTGCTCGGTCCCGCCGGAGTTGCACCTGAGGCAGAACCTGCTGCTGGATGGTAAATCGCAGACCCTAAAGATCTGCGATTTCGGCACCGCGAAGCGCATGGTTTTCGGCGAACAGCGCTTGCCTTTCTTCACTGTTCCTCTTGTTGGTTGCAGATTCCCATGTAGGGCAGAATGTGTGCAACTCCGACCTTCTGAATTTAAGGGGGAGAGCTTATATGGTCTCTCGGTACTACCGTGCTCCCGAGCTGATTCTGGGAGTCGGGGGCTCGAGGTGGTCTGAAGGTAGCAGCCAAGTAAGCATCGGTCAGGAGCTGCACGAATTCCCATGACTCCTATAGCTGCCGAAATCCAGGCCACCCAGTTCAGCACAAGCGTGGACCTTTGGTCTGCGGGATGCGTGGTTAACTCAGATCACTTGAACCTAGGCGGTGCCTCGAGAGTTCTCAACTGCATTTAGAGTTATCGCTCAGCAGCCGTTTAGGTATTTGCAGAGCTGATCCTGGGTCAGCCGCTGTTCACGGGCAAAGATGGCATCGATCAGCTCGTGCCGCTGTCTTGCCAATTTCGCTTTCCAAGTCTGGCCATGTCGCTTCGATTGCGCACAAGTTCGGTGGACTGCCAGGTGCAGATCGTTAAAGTTCTTGGCACTCCGTCAACGCAGCAGTTGCGCTGCCGCCTTGGTACAGTGTTGGTCAGTAGTGAATGTGATGCAGAAAGTTCACAATATTTATCGAAGATATACGAAGATCTGCGAAGTACCTAACAACGGCAATGCCTCTCTACGTCGTGGCATGCCAACTAGACTTAGACATGACCACAACTTCGAGAGAATGAAGCGCCCAAGCTGAAAGGCGCAGTGAAGGTGAACCTTCATTCTGCTCTTCTTGCATTGCGTGCCTTTCTGACATTTTCTGACGGAGGTGGCATTTGTGTGTGTGTCGTTTTGTTTTTTGTGATTTTGTTCGGGCGCGGCGGGCCGGTAACAGGCCCTGGTACGCTTGTAGGTTTGTTTTGCGCGTGCCATGCCGCCAAATACCGGGCCGCTGCACGGTTGTATTCTGTTCCCTTGCTTGGAGATACACATGTCGGATCCATTCGCTCACACTCTCAACTTACAAAAGACGATCGTCCCCAAGCGAGGTTCGAACACACTTCACTACACTAAGCGCATTTCTATGGATTACGACGGCAAGGTATGAAAGACTGGATCATCGAACACGTCATCGAATACTACGAAACAAACACAAAAACAAAGGCGTTTATGAAAGAGCCAGACAAGCATTCCAACCTTCAACCCACGACATTGGTGGCGGGAGCCCCGCAGCTGATTCAGCAGTGGAAACGAAAAGGTGTCAGACCCGAAGTCTCAACCCGGAGACAGCCGACGCACAGAGACAGCTATTCTTACACGTCGCATGTACGAAAGGTCGATAAAAGTAGAACCCCCACGAAAAGCCAACCGAAAGCAGAGAAGGCAAGAGAAGCACAGAGAATACCGTAAGTTGAGGAAGTTTCATGCTGTGCAGGCTGCGCGTGTAACTCCGTTCAAGTAGCTCAAGAACGCTCTACCGACAGTACAATATTTCAACCAAACCAGGCCATGAAACAAAACACAGAAACTGCTACAAGAATGAAATAGACAAAAATTAAAATGGCTACAATGAATCTAGGCCGGGGAATCACCCACATATCTGGCAGACGGATGATAGTCCGCTGAAAAAGAACCAAATTGAGATTCTAGCTTTGCATGAAATAATAACGGCGAACCACTGTTCAATGGAACAACATGATGGCTGCACTTTTTATTTCCATCGAGCATGTCTCATGAGACCAAAGTATCTGCAGAACAGAAAGAGAAAAAACACACAATCCGCCGAATACGGTATTGTTTGAAATACACCTGTACAATTTGGATACAGAAAACACGGAGTAGGATTGGTGTGCAGTCATAAACCACGACCGTACAAGAACAACATACAACAAATCAATGGCAGCCCTCTACTAGCAACTTTTGATACACAACCACTCTGCAATAACATCATTGTAGCCTATGGCCCACACGTGCTCAGACCTCAACGGGAGTGGGACGACTTTTATGCTTTTTTGAACCACACACTAAGCAAGCTGCCAAAGCATGAAATGAATGTAGTCATTGGTGACTTCAGTGTCAGACTTGTTGAAAAACTTCCTCACGAAGTCGCGATCTTAGGCGAACATATTTTCGGAACTCACGAAGACAGAATAGACCTGTTAAGTGAGCAGCACAAAGACAGTCGCGAGCGTTTTCTTTCAATGTGCCAAGACAAACAGCTCGTTGTTACGAACACGCTATTTCAAAAGGATCCCGCAAAATTCATAACATACCGGAATCCTACAACCCTCTCAGCTTTTCGGAACCTTACACGACGTCGCACTTCGCGCAGTGGACTACATGTTGAGCAGTACAAGGTGGAACAATGCTGTAACCAATGCTGAATCGAGCTGCTGTCACTGAATTACAACAGTCCACAAGCTTTTAGTTGGTAGCCTGCGTGTAAAACTTGCTACAAGTTTAGATATGCGGAACCCTGTAGAAACGCAGAAAGTACAGACCTCCCTCGCTAAACCAGGTTGATAGTTATAACATGCATGTTTTTGGAGTTGGTTAAAGACAGTGAGCTCTAGTGTACAGACGACCCACTGAAGCTATGGGCCGACATATTCCATGAAGCGGCTAACAATGCATGTGCGATAGTTTCTCCAGCGCAAAGAACAGCATATATCCCTGCAGAGGCTTGGGACCTCCTTTGTAAGAAGCACGGACACACTCAAGCGGGGAACACACAAACTGCAAGGGAATTTTAAAAACAAGTGAGAAAACATATCCGATATGACAAGAAAAAGAATATGCTGCGGCAACTTGACGAGATGGACGCGCAAGGGTATCAATGGAGAGGCATAAAGTCATAAAGCAAATGAGGAACAATTCTTCCCAAGGCTTACACAATTCAAAGATAAGAAAGGCAACCCCATTCCTGAACTCGAGAATTGCTCATGAACGCAAGAACGCTTCTCTCGCAGACTCAGATGTTGGCGCAGCAGTCAACCAATCTGCTTTTGAACTTGACGAATTCAATGCTGTGATCAAATGGTTGACATGCAACAGGAGTCCAGGGCCGGATGAGCTAACTACAGAGCTGGTAAAATGGTTGAATAGTGACAACAGACAAAATCTACTAGTTCACTTCAACGACGTATTGCTTCATGGCAACTATCCTGAATCACTCAACTTGTCCAACATCGCATCTATGTTTACAAAAAAGGGATCCGGCTAAATTGGAGAACTATCGGCCAATAGCGCTTTTGCAGACTGTTTATAAGATGTTGGCAGCTCTCGTTAAGAACCGTTTAGATCCTGCTCTGGAGCCGTGGATGTCCAAAACCCCTTATGACCCAACATGGCCTCAGAAAGAAAAATCTAAGCCTTGTCCATTGCAAGAAGAATCATGGACATGGCAGAAGGGCAAGGTACCAATCTGGCGCTTGTGTTATTCGACTGACAAAGTAGACCAGGACAAACTCATTGAAGTACTTGTCTCGACTATGCATACCTCAACCCATCGTCTGCCTTGTGCAAAACATCTATGATAACGCATAATTTAGAGTTGTGAAAAGCAACGTCCGCTCCAATCATCAGATGCAAAACTCAGGAACACGACAGGGATGTCCGCTATCACCATACCTTTTGGAGTTCTAACGACAGCAATCTTCCAAGACATCAAGTTGGTTCCAAGCACAGCAAAGCAGCTACAAATCATGCGTTAATCATGCAGAGGTTCTGTATGCCGACGACACCTTATTGTTCGGAACACACACCCGCACGATAAACAAGCTGTTGCGACAAATACAAGTAGAATCAGCATGAATCAGCTAGATACAAATTTAATTTCGAACAATGCATTAGCCTTACCAGTAATCGCAAGCAGTCCTCTATCAAATTTATGGACGAGTCGGCCGTTCCGAGGAAAACCCAGGCAAACTAATTATCTTGGAGCAACTCTAACAGACGCAGTAGACAGCCATCAGCAAGTTATCCGAAGAATAGAGGAAGCTACGACAGTCGCTAAACAACTAGGCGTGTTCTGGTCCAAAGCCCGTGCAACGATTAAATGGAACTACGAGTGGTGGAATGCACTGGTATACGGCTTGGAAACTATCCAACTTACGCGACGCGAGCAAGACAAAAAAAATGTGTTTTTATATATATATATATATCCATATTCATATTCATATTCATGTACAATATGATAATATGCGTATGATGCATATGATTATGTGTACACAGACATGCACATATAAGTATATGCACATATACAATCAAGAAAGAAAGCTCCAGAAATAAAGAAAGCAATAAAGAAACACGCAAGCATTTAACCAGAGACAGAAAGACAGAAATGTAGAAACAACTAAAGAAAGAAATACACAAATACAGAAAGAACTGCAGAAATACTGAAACAACCACAGAATGCTCGCTGCCCGTGTCCCTCCTGTGATGTGGTGCATACCTTGAGTCATTCACAGACGGCTCTGGGTGTTTCTTTGTTTGGTGCTTTCTTTGTTTCTTGTTCCTTGATGACACCAAAGAGCCAGAAATAAAGAAAGCAATAAATAAAGAAGCACCCAGAACAATATGTAAATGACTGAAATGTTGCGCCGCAGCACAGGAGGGGGGAAACACGCGCAGCGAGCATCCTGTGCAAATACTAGGACGCGGGGAGCAGATTTGCACTTAGTGCTGCAGATAATGGGACGCAGGGAGTTGACAAAGGCAGGAAAAGAATGAAGACCAGCCAAACACAAAAAGGACAAACACAAGCACCGAAATAACACTCCACCCTTTTCTGACTCGATGGCTAGGTGCGATGAACCCCAACTATCCTGAGTACGAGTTCACGCCTTCGTCATCGCGGCTTTATTGTTTCGGATGCAGTTTCGTGCTCATGACATGAGTGCTTGCTCGCGAGACACTTGCATTCCTGTGGCCTGCCAGGATCTCCCCGCATTCCTGGGAGAAGGCTGTCGACACCACGGCGCAAGCTCACGAACCGATACTGGACCTACAGAGAGTTGCTTTAGTGAATTCTTGTCACAGCAACACTGTCAACAAGCGAAAGCTCGACTGCAAACCCCAGCGTCGAAGTCGTTCATGTTGTCAGATGGCAGAACTACACGGGGGATCCTGAACATCTCGGCAGCTCAATACCGGAGTTTCGTATGCCAAGCTTTGTAAGCTGCAAACTCATCAGCTACCGTCCGTTGAAGCGATTTCTGCGATTTCCTCCAGCCCGAGACAGATCCGTGATCACGACACTTTCTCATTGACGTGCTGACACCCGCAGGTCTTGCGCGGTTGGGCCCCAGTGCATGCGTGCGATCTGGCGCGATTCTCACTATCGTGGGAATTTCCTGTGTTTTCGTGTTAGGATATACGAAGTAGTAGTCGGCATGTAAGGGTCAACATGTGACAGGTGAGCTTGATGCTGACGTACGACCCAGTCCAAGCCTTGGCTAGGTTTGGTTTGAGATTTTGATGCATGCCGTGAAGCAAGGCTGCCCGCGCTCCGCTCAACTGGCCTTGTTTGGAAGGAATATCTTCCTACATCAATGCATTGGTTATGCATGCACATGACACTGTTTGGGCTGACAGCTGTGTGATCTGAATCCACTTGATCACCGAAGCGCCAGGCCGCTTCATGTCCTGCTACATCCATTCTTTGCTGAGCTACCATGCAGCAGCCCAGTGAAGCAGAACGGTTTTGAATCGATGCTTCACCTTTTTGCACGCGAAGATCCGCGGTTAGGAATGAGTCGTGCTCCGAGGCTGCAATCAATAGACAAGAAGGAGTGCTTCAGCTGCAAAGGTCTGCAAAGGTGCTGGATAAAGACCTCTGCTCCTCCGGTGAGAGCTGTCGCGAAGTGGTGGGTGGGAACCGTTGCCTGTCGGGCCTGGGCCCAGGCAGTGCAAGATGCTCTTCAACTTCCGCGAGGACGTCCGCGTAAAAGCGGTTTTAGGGTCCTTCTCGGCTCAGCTCAGCTACTGGCAGGACGAGTTGTGGTGGCTCACTTCGGTGGAGAGGCAGCAACTCATCCCAAGCCTCGCGCTGAGAGGCCACAAGGAGCCCAAAATCCCGACATTGGCAAACTTGCAAGTATGGTACCCCTAGCTTGGCTGCATGTGAAGATTGTAGACCAAGGTTGGGCAGCAGCGGAGGTGGCGCGGCGTGACTGATTGTCATGAAAAAGATGCTGGCGTGATACTGTTACATTGCGCTATTGAGAACGGTGTCTGTGGAGAGAGTCCTGGATCATCTGCGTGATGCGGCATGGACTACTGCAAGGGAATTTTCGGTATAGTGATAGTGCAGGTTCCATTGTCTTGCGTGGTCGGTATGGGAGCTTACGAGCTAGGGAAACATCCTCGGCTCCGCGATTGAATCTCAAGAGACGTTGTTACCTCAAGAGCCAAGTGTCCATGGCACAAGAGGCCCGGCCGCGGGTGTAGCGGAAAAACAGTATCGCATGGCCTTCCATGCATGAATCACAACTCCTTTCAGGTGGATCATCTCTAGTACTGCGCCTGGCGCAGCCACTGCCAGGCCTTCGGCCAAGAAGCTACGGATGTAGGGTTCTTTCCTGATGTTTTGTGCCCGAGAGTCGGAACATCGATCTATACTTCGGATTGTTCAGTAAGTTGGGCCACATGAGTGTGGAGTGCGGAGCGTTTCGGACTGGCGCGTGCCAATCTTGGGACCGCTGAATAGCTGTGTGCGCTCGACCATGTTCGACCATAAACAGGCTTCTGCTAGATTGCTGTGCAACGACTCGGTATCTCTGATAACGAAAGCTGGGGCTGGGTTAGGCGTGCTATCGCCAAAACCGCCTTGGCATAACACGCAGGCACCAGCATCCTTTATGGTGAAAGGTGAGTGTTTCAGTCGCTGCACCACATTGATGCTCATCGAAATCCAGGGTCTACGGGCGTTGATGCTAACTTGAAAGCCAATTTGGTCGATGTGCTTTCTTAGTTTTCAGAGGCATTGGACAGTGCTTGCAACGCAGCATAAGCATGTGACCGAGAGCATGGAGCCCACCAAAAAGCGATAGCGCGCAGCCACCGCCAGCTGCCTTCCAGGATGCCGCCGCCAAAGAAGCAGCCGGAAGCAAGTGTTGTCGGGCCATCAGAGTCAGAACGAGGGGGGGTTGCAAAATTCAGCTTGGTCCAGGTTGTGGTCTTTTTGCGAGACCGTTGAGCTCAGGTGGACCTGCATGCCACCAATGTGCCGCTGAGTGCGCCAATCAACTACGTAGCCCCAAGGCCCGCTGTGCTTGAAACAGTCTTGTCGACAAACTCCCTGTTCATGTGCTACCGGTTTCGGATCTTTGAATTGGTCGCTCGAAATCAACAACCCGAAAACGTCGCACATGAAAAGATGCAGACCGAAACGCTGCCGCAGAATCGAATCAGCTAAGATCCTGGCCTTTGGTTGTTGGAGGCTCGCACGGCAGGGGATCCCAAGATTTGCTTTCGAGGGAGCCCACCTTCGGAGGTGGACCCAACTCGCAATCCTGATTCAACGATGCGAGACCCATCGGAGCTGGCTTTGCAGCCACTGGGAACGGAGCATCTGGCATGAACGCCTGATGCTGAAGGGGCAGAGGAGGACGGAAGGAAGGAAGGACGGAAGGAAGGAGTGTTTCAATTCAGAGGCTGCCTTTCCCGACACTGTGGTCCTGCATGTTCGCCCGTGAGTTTGCAGGACGATCTGCTATGCTGCCGCCAACAGTGCTTCATGCCTAGAGGGCTGTCCGTTTACACTGGCAGCACGGGCTGGAAGCCGGAATCCAGCCAAAAGCCGAGGTGCATCTATGGAACTTGGATTCCAACTCGAGGTGGTTGCATATTTGCGAGCCAGTGCGAGAGGGTTCTCCAGCTGCAAGAGGTCATCCTTCCCGACGACAGCCTACGCGGTGACAAAGCTGTGCACGAATGTCGAGCGAGGGTTGGTGGGCCTGGCACTGTCTCAATGCACGTGAACTCAAGCACATCCTGAGATGCCAGGTTGCCTATAGCGAAGGTGGCTCTCAGCCTCAGGCTGGTACTCGCAATGTGGGAGAGTAAGCTTGCAGGTCTCAGGAGAAAGCCCATGAATCTTAGTCCAGTGTCCAGGGTACTCTTTGCTTGCTGCCAGTGTTGCCGGCCGGAGAAATGCAGGTTTACGTGTACTCCTGCTCGCCGCAGAAATTATTGCGTGATCCCCATCCTTGGCAAGTGTGGTTTCGACGCAAGCAAAAGCCCCCGCTGTAAGGTTTACAATAACAGACCTGACAGAGCTCGAACTGGCTGACATGGCGTTCAGCCGCTGTGGTTCGCGCTTGTACGCCTTGTCGAGGCAAGGCGAGTTGCACCCTGCAGCCACACGCAGAGCTAGCATCAGACCTGACTCTGACGGACGTGCTTTCGCCAGAGTAACAGCTTGGCTTGGCAGGGCAACCTCCAAGAAGTTGCACATATACTCTATGTTGACTGGGCTGCCGCTGAGAGGCAAGGTTTGTGCTTCAACGCTGAGCAAACCGCTGCCGAGTCTCAAACTTTGAGGCTGTGAGCTGCAACTGCCGCTCCGCTTTGACAAAATTTGTGTCTATCCCGGCCACAAGGATTGCTTGTGTGAACACTTCAGTCCCTTCCTGGTCGGTCATGATGTTACACCCGCCTTGAAGTTTCAGGACCATGTGGCTTTGATCCGCAGCTCTGCTGTGCGAATTATTTCCATCACAAAGTCGTTTGAGACGTACATCGCAAAGCTGCAGTCGGGGCCCCGGACTCCGGATTGGACTCATGGGCAAGGATGGAAACCCGGGTTTGTGCTGACACCATGCTGTTCGGACAAGGCCACCGTCAATCCCGGTGGACACGGACTTGGCCGTCTCAGCCTATTGCTGGACCAACTCCGGGTCGGATCCGCAGTGATGCTGTACAAAGTGGCGCCCGCTTCGAGCTGCCAATGATTGACCGAAGCCGTGACAGGCATTTCCTCGTGGCTACACGTCAGGGGCTGCATGGGCCCGAAGCGCCTGTCTCGCTTGGAGTCTGGTGACCAGGTTCGAACACTGCACCGAGGCTTTGCACGCTCGACGGGGCCACTGGTGCTTTGCTGTAACCTGGCTATCTGCAGCGTCTCTTCTCTTCTTTGGATTTTGCAGCACATGCTGCCTGCTGTCATTGCCGGTTCAGGTCTGTTTGCCAAGCAGAGCAGCCCATTACCAGCATTGCATTGTTTGGAGCTCGGAAGAAGCCTTTTGCACCGTCCTTGCCCGCATGCTGGGATCAGCACCAACACGAAACCGGGCGCGGTGGTGCAGGACACAAGACTACCTGATCACATCTCACATCGGGAACACGCTGAATTTTTGGGAACTGACACCAGAGGCGGAGCCGCCCTGTGTGCCACTCACCACAATATACTCGACTCGTATCCCGATTGTAGACTTGTGGGAGGCGCTTCGAGGCAGTTCCGAAGAAGCTGCTAACATTGCTTCCGGTGCAGCACCAGCGTGCGCCGGCCAGCTTCAGCTTCCGGTCAATCGGTGCTTGCTGCAAGTGACAGGCCTAAAATGGCTCTGTCATCTGGCATGTTTCAGCTCAAGAAGGTCTGATTTCGAAGCCATGCAGGTTCCGTTGCACGACAAGACATGTCATTTTCGCAGGTGGCTGACTTGGAAAGCGTCGGCCAATCACAAGACCTAGGGCACAGGCTTCTGGGCCAGGCGATTCTTCTGCTTGACACGATTGCGGCAGAAACAAGTGCAGTCTTTGACAGGTGGCCTCTGTCCAGGCATCAACCGACTTCAAAGATGCGGAAACCTTCTCAGTTGCTAGGAAGAGGGCTCCGTGATGCTCAGTGTTGGGCTAGACCTCGTCAACTGCAGGTTCTGACTACAGCAGAGGGCGAAGTTTGGACAATCCAACTGCCCTCCAAGCTGTCCCACAGCCTCGCTTGTAGTTGCGACTTGGTTGTTCGAGCCAAGCTCAGGCATGCTGAGGGCAGGGTTCATGGGGCGAGCAACGATTGGGCACTTTCTCGAGATTTCCTGTTTTCACTCTCTGATTCTCATGTTCTAACATTTCCAAGCTGGGCGGTGCAGTCGAACACCACATGTCTGTGCGGAGCCTTTTGTGCTTGCCAGTCGACAAGAGGGCCAAGCTGACGAGTTCGAGGAGGACAGGGTCGTATCTCATGTCCCTCAACTTGCCTTCTGCCCTTATGCAAACCGCGAGGACGACATGTATGTGCGAGCAGAGCAGTTGTGGGACTGGCTTGTTTTGGTGATTCGCTTCTGAATCGGAGGAGCTTGAATTTCACTTCCTGGTAGGCAAATGGAGCTGCTTTGTTGGTTTCACACCAACGCCATCACCTGCATTTGCCCCATCGGCTCGGGGCTGCAGGCAGGGATGGCAAGCCGGAAGAAAGTCACAGAGACTCGGCTCCTGTGCAGGTCTGCGCTAGTGCAGATGAGGGCGGTCGGTTACGGCTGTGGCAGGCGCTGGTCTCTTGAAGACTTCAGCACTTCTGACAGCTTACAACACTTGCAGGTATGTCGTGGAGAGGACCCTAAGGGTTTCCGAGTTCTGCGATTCGCCTCGGCTTTGACAAGTCTCACCGTGGAGTCCAGAGGGAAATACCTTTTTGCGAGCAGCCCTCTCAGCTTTGACAGATGCTCCTGGTTTGCTTTGCGTGGACTGCTGGTCTGCTGTGTGTGCTGCTACTTGCGCTGCCCAGGCACCGACGGAGGTTGCATTCACGCCATCTCGGTCGAACGATGGTCCGATGCGCAGGCGTCTGTCCAGCCGTGGTTTTCTAGGGAGATTTGAGGGGTTGGAGATCACTGTTCGTCGGCAGTGCTCCACAGGTGATCGACACCCAGCGCATCAGTGAGGTGGGCATTGCGAAAATCTGCTGCACCGCCTCGGAGGATGTCCCCCTTTAAGATATGCCTTCCACATGAAATCCAAGCTCCCTTCGGGCCGCGAAGGACGGACTGGCACTCAAGGTGGCCGCCCTCCTCTTCGATGGCAGGAGCACTGAACCTGAAGAGTACTTAGGGACCCCAACTCCAGCAAGAAGTGCAAGAATATCAGTGCTTGTCAAGGTTTCGTTTCGATTCAGCTGATTCTAGCTTGTCCTCCATGTCATGGTTGCCATGGAAGGATAGCGATGGTGTCCTTCTCTCTACGAGATCCTAAGGCGAGGCACTTACTGAGGACCCCCAATCCCGCATGGTCTGAACGGGAGGTGAAAATGCTGGGACTCGTTGAGAACCTCGGCGTGGTCGAAGACATCTGCTTCCATGACCAGGCCTTTCAAGAGCGACACGAGTCCGAGTGAATGCGGTTAATCAGCAACACAGCCCTGCTACAAGCACCACTGTGAAACGTCGTATCTGAGTGTGAAGAGATAGATCGCTTCGTGCCGCGTGCCGTGTCGACTCGGGCCTCGTGGGCGCAGCCGGCAGTGACACAGGGGCTAAGCCTTAAGCGAGTCGCAAGGGCTTCTGGGGAAGGTTGAATTAAGAAGGACGAAAGACACAGTTCCTTTGCAGTTTCCACACAGGACAAGACCGAAGAGATGAACACGCCTGGGAAACTCCTGGCTGTAGGCTACAACACGGATTCCGTCTCAACCTCAGCTAAAAGCTCCTGGCTGTCGCTCCTTGGCAAGGCTGGGCCTGGAATCTGACTTTTCCTGAAAGGTCTCTTGCATGTGGGCGATCAGATCGTGGCGCTGCCAAGCTTGAGACATGGCTACCTCTCCTGGCTTCGGAAGCATGCCGGACACAGAAGCACAATGCAGGCATCGTGCAAAGTTGTCCGCGCATCTTGCCAGGCTCAAGGAAGGTTTCGAGCCACGAGACCTGACAATTCCCCGGGAGGCGGGCGCGTGGGCTGAGGGAACTGTCAAATGCCACAGGGTAGAGGATGTCAAGGATTATTGTTTTGATTGGTATCAAACTGCAGCGTGGGTTCCTCGTGAAAATGTAGCTGCTTCGGGAAGCCTGGGGTGTGGTACACTGGTTGAGTACATTTCACTTTGGCCGTTGGCATTTCTGCCGACTTGCTCCGTACAACTGTCGCCAGATCCCCGATAGACCATCGAGTCAGCACGAAGCAGCCAACTGTTTGTTTGACGTGTTTCTTGTACGTGTGATTGTGTTACGTACGCGCGTGTGTGTGTGTGTGTGTCTGCGTGTGTGTGTGTGTGTGCGCGCCGTACCCATGTGTGGCAGACCCCAGATTCTGTACCAAGAGTTACTGAAGGGATGCTGAGTGTTTCCATCAACATTGCCAAGGCATGCCAGCTTTGGTCAACAAAGCTGACGTCCGACACTGGGCTGGCCGAGGGGCGGCCAACTGCAGTATGTTCGTTGTCAAAGTGCGCCACATGCACCCTCTTGTCGATGCATGTGGATGCCATCTGTCGCACCCAACCCAAACCTTTTGTGACAGGAACGACGTAGGTGTAGGCTTCGCAAACGGTGCAGCCCCACCCTGAGCTCGCACGGGGCGTGTGCTTGTAGTCGAGCCGCCTTTCTTGCGAGGTCAAGATTTTTGCAGTGCGCTGCTCTTGGAAGCGATTCCGTCCTGCAAGCATAAGCCGAAGTCTGGGAACGTAATTCAGGCCAACCCATCCTGGGTTGATTCTCAAAGCAGCGCCGGCAGCGCCTGTCAAGAGCCTTTTGCCTCAAATTTCTCAGCTGGTGTGTCAAAGCGAGTGACCTGACTTGACTAAAGGTCTTTTGCAGCCTGGCGTCCACCATCTCATTTCCTGCCTTCAGCTTGTGGCCTAGCGCTGTCGGGGTTGCCTGCTGGACGGTCAAGGCCACAGATGCACCGAGGCCAAACGCCAGCGCAACCATCCTGACAATTGGTTCAATGGTCGCAGCCCTAGCCACCCTCCACCCTCAGTGTCAGTGCCGACGCTGACGGCGCCACAAAGGATGGGACCGTGGTCAAGATTGGTTGGCAGCTAAGCGAAGGAGCAATGCATCATTCTTTGGGGGGCATGTTGCGACGGAACGATGATGGGACTTCTCGTGCTGGCGCCGTGTTCGCACCTGTTTAAGTTGGATCACGCGCGTGCCTTCCTAACAGATCCTAACAGAACATGATGTCTCTGATCGGTTCTGCGGCCCAGCTGCTACAGTACTACACTTCACGAATCAGCTTCCAGGAAGTTCAGCAGAGACAGGTCGTGGCAGAGTACGACAAAGCCAGGCTTGTGGGCCCATGACGCGCATTCCCGTAAGCGCTTCCAGAGGTGGGCCCGGGCCGGTCTGGCAAACCTTCCTCTGTGTGGGAACAACAGACACAACAGTACCGAAAATGCGCTCCAGACAACGGCCCTCATGTTAGTGCGAATCATGCGACCCATATCGGTCACCACTCAGGCCAGGAGTTGCGGAGCGTCTGTGGTCTGATGTTTTCGCGCAGAGTAAAGCGGAGTGGCCAAGCATATACTTGCCTTAACTCAAGAAACCAAAAAAAGCGGGCATCCTTTTGGCATAGCTGGGAGGATGCCGAGAACTTTCGGCCTTGGTCAGCTTAGCCAGAGACACCACTTCTTAGAAGATCTGCGAAGCAGCGGTTGGCATGATTTGCCTTGTACTAGTGACTAGTGGCCTCCTCTGCCAGCCTTCGATGGTAAAGCTAATTGTGTAAGCTGGCATGCCTCTGAAGTCTTCCAGCCGGAAATGCTAGGTCTACCCGAGGCAGAGCCCTCGGTTGACTCTTCCTTGAAGCTGGAAGTTCTACTTTCGCAGAGCTGTGGCTGCAGGGCAATGAGCTTCTCAGCAAGACCCTCCACAACCCTTACAACGGGGGGACAGCGCAGGCACAGCGTGAGGTACGCATAGCCCACTTGTGTCGTCGTGTCGGCGCTTTGAGGCGGCATGCAGTCGTGACGGTGCATACCTTGACGCGGGCGGGAGTCTTGCGAGCATTGCGTGTAACTTCTGCAACTTAGGCACTGTGGCGATGACATCTGGTGGTACAGTGAGATGCCTTCTTTGTTGGATCTGAAAGTTTGTGCACGGCAGTTTCAACATGCCAAGGATGGCATCATCGTCTGGAGCGATCCTGGCTCTGGCATCGCCCTGACTCCGGCTCCATCCTGACTTGCCTGCGATTCAGTGCAATGCTTTGCAGGCGAGATTACACAGCTTAGGATGACTCCCACATGCATGTTGAAGAAGCCCCGAGCTTGGACTTTGGACCCGTTGGCAAAGGGCTCTACCTCTCGGACGTATGCGACATGCACATTCCTGCCGTGTCCCCTTGCGCTGCTTTTGCCACCCTTGGACATCTGGTGTCGCAAGGATGATGGCTTCGGCGATGCATCACCTGGCGGTTTTGCTTTCGAGCCATGCCGGCATGCCCTCTTGGGTGTCCTGACTCGCTGTATCTCGCTGTATCGTGATTGTTTGTTGTTCCGGCAGTGTTCGCAATTGCTTGCAAGACTCAGATGCAGTATGAATCATGTTGAGTTGCAGGGTTCAGGAAGCATAGCCTTAGATATCTAGCAACTGTTTGACCAGATTGAGGTCTCCAGCTGCAGTCCTCGGTTGCATGGCCCATTTCTAGGGTTCCGCGTGCCAGGTTGGATGACACAGACATCAATGCATTCCCTGCGTGGGTACCACCTGCAGCAGGCCGGGCCGTCGGAGAAAATTGCTCTTCTCCCTCAGCTGCTCTCTTGCGGCTCTCGCGCGCATGAGAAGGCGGGGAGGCCGCTGCCGGAGATGACGAGGCAAGCAGAAAGATGTTTCTTCAGTGCTTGGCTCAATTCCGGCGAAAGCCCACGTTAGGGGGCCACCGAAACAGTCTTAGCACCATCAGCGGGATCTGGCGACGGTTGATGCTTCGGGGTGGTGTTGGGTGATGAGTTTGTCGGGAGCCCGGCGCATTCTGGGAGATCATGTAAGCAGAGCCTGCAAACAACATCTGCTGAATCATGCTTCAATCATCTTTGGCAGGAGGTGGAGTTGTCTGCCCCGCACTCAGCTCGCCGTCATCAGTCTACTTAACAGTAATATGTTGCCGCATTCCAGGAAGAGGCAACTGCCAAGCGAAAGCTGATGGCGCACGAGGCAATGCAGCAGCTATTTTTCGCTATGAACATGCGTCATGAAAGAAGCACGGTTTTGACTCTCGTAAGCCGTCCGCATTCCGAGAAACTGTTCTATGAAAGTGCTGCTGGTTGATTTTGAGTAGGTTTGATGACTGAATGTCGCCTTACTTTGCACGCCCTTGCAGATAGAATCTCTGCGCAAAAAGCTTCGAATCCTTGTCGACCACAATGCAAACGCACCAGATCTTGAAAAGCCTGCGACTTGGAGTCTTTCAGAGTGGCGAACGTAGGTTACGGCCTGCTTCAGCCGGGGTTGTTGCGCTGTTGGGCGACTACTCGTGAACGGACCGTGCTGCAGAACTCCCACCAGATTACAGATCACGAGAGGGCAACACAGTCGGCAGTTTTTCCCGGACATGCTTTAAATGCACACTTCCTTTTCCCAAGGCTGGACCGCAGCGAGTTCTGTGTCGACTTCGAAGAGCGCTTTGCCATTGCCTCGAAGACGAAGGACGGAGACTGACAAAGTTTTTTGAGAATGCATCTATATGTATGTATGTGTAAATAAAGTATGTACACATATATACATGTAAATGTATGTATGTATGTATGTATGTATGTATGTGTATATACATATATTTATGTGTATATGCTTATGTACCCAGTACGATCAACAACGAGATCGTGATGACAGACAGGACTAGTGGTTGGCAATGAGCGATGTGCATACCTTCTTGTATACTGTATATACACGGCATATGAACGTGTTAGCAGGAGGTGTACCTACATGTACATGTGCGTATATGTACTGTGAAATGTACTATGTAACATATACTTCTGGCTACATTATATGTTGTTGGGAGTGCTGGAAAGGCGTCTGCGAGCTCGTCATTCGGAGGAGCGCTGCGACGAGCTGCGTGCGGACATCGAACATCAGAACGTTGCCAGGCCCGTCTGGGCGAGACGGAAGGGGCTCTGGAGCTTTTGCGTTTGCATTTTTGTGTTTACGGAAGGCGAGTGTGTAGTGCGATCCGTCTCATGGTGTACCAGTCCTGATGCCAATCATGGCTGGTTAGAGAAGGCAGCTCGTTCGCGACCGGCTCATCAAAGAGTGGTCGGCCCAGTGCAATCGAGGAGCATAACTCTCTGAAGCTGGTTTGCTCCCTGTTCGTGCTTCGCTCAGAATGTCCGCAATGAGGTTCTGGGATCCCATGCGTGGCAAGGGCTGCCAGATCACCTCCCTAACTTCCAACCTGGCAGTCTCGAACTATCCGGAACGGACAGTCAGCGAGGACGACCTCGAAGGTTCATGTCTGATTACGCAGAGTGCCTCTTCAGTCGAAGCCCATTCTGACGGTGGCAGCTTCTGGGCTACGGTCCTGTCCTCTTCTGCTCGTGATATTTCGGTCGAACGAATCCTGCCTTCCTTAGCCACGGAAATGTTCGCAAGCATGCCCCACGCAAAGGAAACTGCTTGCTCGATGCTTCTCGACCCGCGCTATTGGAACATCGTGATCATCGGATGTTTGAGAGCTTGCTCCAGTAACTGTAGTACCTCTTGTTCGATGGCTGTTCGTCAGTCTAGCGACAGCTGCAGCACCCGACTTGTTGGATTTAGAACAGAGGTCATTTCGAACAAATCCCCGTGCACAACTGCTGCCGCTTCTAGGAGTGCAGGGAAGCATGGCTCAGCGACGGTTGCAACACTTCATTCTCGCGATGAAGTATAAGACGCGCTTGAGCTGCACCGGCATGTTAAGCCATTGTATCTCCCCTTTTGCGAGGTCGATCAAGGTCGAGTTGGTGTTTGCTGTGGCAGTTTTTCCCGTCGATGTTTTCGGAGGTTGCATTGGGGCACCGTGCTCTGATCGCGTCCCTTTCAAACACAGAGCATACTTTCTGCCACCGGCAGCAGCTTCGATTCGAGCACTTGTGGTGTCAGACTTGCCGACCCTGGGCATGGCAAAGCACATCGAACTAAGTCAGAGGCTCACCGAGGGCAGGGTTCCTGTTGTGATTCACAGTCGAAGCCCACTCACGGGGTGCAATGATACGAGGCAGAGAACAGGGATGCGCGTCGAAGGCAGTCAGAGACGGAGGTGGAGTCCGAGAACGCAGAATGCACGTCGCGAGTGCGAAGCACTGATCCGACGATCTGCGGGACACAAAGGAAGCATGAATACCAATTCGGGTCCTGTCCAATGTAGGACAGCGACCCTTGTCGACCTCTAGAGCCAACTCTTTGGAATTGCTGGAAGTCCCGGCAGACTTATTATGAATAATAAGAAAATCACGTCTTTCTGTCCTTTTCTTTGGGTTCCCGGTGTCCGTCAGCAGGGCTTGACAAGCAGTGCTGTCGACGCCAGACTTCATCTACTCGCGTCTAGTCTGGCAATGCCCCACAGGGTGTCGATCTCAGTCTTGCGCCCTTGTTCACAGCCATTGCAGCCGTGCCGCCACCGGCGATGCCCATATTGCTAGAAGTGGTCTGCCCAACACAATCCGGTGTCGAAAGAGACACCGGGTCAGAGAATCACTCCTTTTCAACTCATTCCTTCCTTCCCAGGGTGTAGGAGGGAAGAGGCCTAGAATCCAACCCAGGTCCGTGGGCAAGAAAGACACATTTCTGCGCATCCGTCTAGAGTCTTTTGATGGATGAGCGCTGCAGGAAGAGAGCACCGTGACCCGGAAGCTCCGGATGCTGCGGCGCAGTGAGCAGCTGGAGCTGCAAATGCACTGCGCTTGGATCTGCGGAACCACAGATCCATCGCCTGCATGGAGAGCGCCTTCTTTTGCAGGCTGCGCAGCAATTGCCCACCTGAACTCAAGAACGATCTGGTGCTGGATGAAGATCACTTCACAACAGGCAAATTCCCCACTTCTATCGTAGCGGGGGTTGTTCTGCCCACGCCTGTCAAGCCAGGTCGAGAGCAGTACATAGTGAACTGGTGGCCCGCAGCAAACACCAAGGCATCGGTCAGTGCGCGAGCTTTGCTTTTTGCCCTCGCAGCTCGGCTCTCTGCAAAACGGCACCTCGTGTTTTCATAGGCCGCGGATGCACGAGCAAAGCAGCTCGCGGAGATCGAGGAACAAGCAAAGCAAGCAGCGGCGTTCCTTGACTAGACATCCCATCGCGTGCTTTGTTGCTTTTTCTGTGTATCCCGACAAAGGGAGAGAAAAGCTGCGGCGCGGATCTCGAGCGGTCGGGGAGGGTGGGATCATGCACTCAACTGCTCAAGATGAAGCCGAAGACAAGTGTCGAGTGTGTCAACCTGGATATCTGCTTCGACAAGCTGCACCGTCCGAGGCAGAAAAAGAAGCAGAGAAACAAAAGGCAGGTCTGCGCACTACTGACGGCAGCACATGTTGGAGTGACTGCTTCATCTCCAGATTGTCTGGATTCGGAGGAGAAAGATGCCAAAGCAGCCAAGGAAGGTAGAGAGAAGTCAGACGATTCAGGAGGCAGCTGATCTCGAGTCAGAGTTTTGTTGGTAGCAGTTTCCACGCAAGACGTATGACCTTGAGGTGTCAAAGCTACGGATGACACGGGAGGGGGAACCAGTGCAGATTCCGTAGCGAGCCGAGACGAGTAACGAGGTCAAGATGTCGATGCCCAAGACTTGCGACCCTGATCTTCCAAGATTGTGGCCGAAGAGCAGAAGTACTTGTACGAGCCGTTCGAGCTTGTTACAAACAGCCGCCGCCGGCTGCAGGCCATACTCCCGTCGCTCGACTTGTGAGCGTCGATTGCAGCTTACATCGCCTGATGCAACCAATAGAATGCGGCTGCAGATCCACCTGCTGCAATCGCTGTCAGCGGACTACCGCTGGCACTTCAACGAGCTCTTCAAGGTCGGATGGTCTATGATGGTCTATGACTGTGCGAGGGCCTGTACACTGCATTCCGTGAACCTGCAACCCCACGGAATTGTGGAAGGCTTGCCAGGGTGACAAGAAGAACATCATCGCCGAGTTCTGAGGGACAGCGGCCTGGGTGCTCAAAGAGAGCTGGGACCTCCGAATTAAGGATGGTATCAAGGAGAAGTGCAGCCGCATCCGGCAAATTCTTGGCGAAGCCTGGCCCATCGGGAAGCCGGCAGTGTGAACCGTTGTCAGTGCCGCCGGCTGACGTGAAAGCCATCTAAGGAGCTGCAGATTGAGGAGGAGGTTCCAGAGCCGACTCTGGAAGAGGTCGAGGATTCGGACTCCGTACTCAAGGTCCAGGACGCACTGCTCACATCGGAGTTGCTCCGTCATGCCTTGCAAGCAGCATGTGTGTCTGCCTCCGAACAAGGATCGCGAGATTACAGTTGAAAAGTGGATCTCGCCGGAAGAGCCACTATCCCAGCTGTGCTTATGGCTGGCGTTGGCACTGTTCGGAAACTGCCGCCGTGACAAAAGGAAAAAAGCAAGGGAAGAAGCAGCGGCCAAAGAGGAGGAGTCGCGGCAGACTTTGAGATAATGACACCGGCCAGGATGAGTATCCGAATACAGATTCGAGTTAATTGAATCCTACCGACGGCATAGAGAAGCTGCCTACCGCTTGCACAAGGTCTCATGCCCAGCTGAGGAGCGCTTGCGACAGCTCCGAGAGAACGATGCTGGCCAGCGTGCATTGGTCAGCCCTCCAGACCGTGACATCATATTTGTGAAGACCGCCGGTGGTTTCAGCACTTTGCAGAGCTCTGGGCTGAAGGTGCAGATGATGGGTGGGACGCTCAAGACAAAGAAGGCCTCAGCGAGCACACATGCAGTAGTGTAGTGTGCGCAGGACAGCTTGCCTTATCCAGCGACCATCTGCTTGCAGGACCTCACCCCGTTGGAAGTCGTCCTGGACAAGGAACCATGGATGGATGAAATCCCGGAGGAAGATATGCCCTTGTCTCAGCTGCTTCTTTTTCAGATTGTGTCTCACTGATGCCTGTCGGCTGTAAGGTCGGAAGCCCAAAAGCTAGCTTTTGCTGAGTACCAGGCAAAAGAGAAGGCCTTCCTTACCGCACACTACACCTGTCTATCTGTCTGTCTGCCTGCTTGCCTTCGCTGATGTCTCTGTGTGTATGTAAGTGTACATATATATATGTATATATATATGTATATATATATGTATTATCTTTCTACCTCTCTCTCTCTATGTGTGTCTGCATGTGCATGTGTGCATGTGCGTAGTGAGATTCAGATTCGGCTTTCTGCTCTCTCTGTCTCTGTCTCTTTCTTCGAAAAATTTAGATCGTTTCTGCGCAAACTTGTTGGGCTTCAGCCGCAGTTTGGCACAACAGCTGGATCGTTTAGGTTCACACTTCAGGCTTAGGTTCTGCATGGGGTGAGGTTCGGACGTTTCTGCACACGGTTTGTTCCAAAAATGTCTTTAGTGTCGGCCTGTGGACTAATCTGGTTTAGGGTTTCGCTTAGCTGGGTGGAATTATGGGGCATGTTCCAGACCGTACACAACTCCCGATGATGGTGTATTTGCACGTGAGATCACCCTCTTCGAATTTGAGGAACCATGATAGTCTCGCAGAAGCGAGCTTAAATTCCCGAGCTCTAAACCCTGACGCACCGGACTCCCAAAACCCTACTCCCAAAAGCCGCAAATTTCAAGCCATGTCTGTAACCCCACACCCAACGCTAGACCCGGTTGCAAACCAAAGCCCCTGTTTAGGGTTTAGTGCTGACGGTTTAGGGCGTGAGCCTCGAGCCTGAAACCCAGTGCCGTGCAAGCCGAAAGTACATCCCTAACCCCCCACGAGACATTGCAGTGCAAGCACAAAGTCCCAAAGCCCTAAAGCCTAAACCACAAAAGACGTCGCCGTGCAAATTTGCAGTCCTCTAACCCAAAGCCCTGAACTACAGGCCCAAACCCCAAACCTAAACCCAAGACCCTACACCATCAACGCAATCCGAAACCAATCTCAGATCCAGGAACTTGAATCCCGCAAACCGCGAACCCAAGAGACTACCAGGCGTTCGTTGTTGATTGTAGTGGGGCAGGTAGACACCGTAGCCGACTGTACCGAAAACCCCGGAGGCCCAAGAGCAGTGCAAGCCCGCACCTAGCTTGACCCTGGAAAAGAAGACTCTTTGCCGTTTTCAGGACTCTAGGCGTAGTGGTGCTCCTGTCCGATATGTTATTATGGCCACATCACGAACTCAAGGGAACCCCCAGAACCCTTACAGTCCTTGTGGTACCCCAAAAATCGCATCAGTTTGCATCTCCGTGTCAGGCCCTGGCCGAGGCGCAGGATGCCTACCGGAAGCAGCTCTCTGCAGAGCTGCCTCTCTGTCAAAATTTCGGTCTCTTTCAGAAGTTTCGATTAGCGGCTCTGCAACCCAACGGCTGCACATTGCCAGGAAGACACTCCGCGCTGGTGTGCAAGAGCTGTGGGCATCCCAGTTGTGGTATGAAAGACGAGATCGCCTGTGCCTTGCAGATCAATGTCGAAGAGCTGCTTGGAACCGCCTGAAGGGATCCAACCTCCCATCCCGCCTCGAAACCGGGAATCGAGCCTCGCAATTTGTTAAAATTCACCAGATTTGCCCTGCCAATTTCGGAACTTCGCGCTTTTTATCATCATGCAGAGCTGTAGAGACAAATTTGGGATGATCCAGGCCCGCAAGGCGATCAAAGACAGTCCCGAGCTGACAGCGAAACCTCTGGAATCAGAAATTGATCCCCTCCATCGATTGTTTCGGTTCTTGTAGGTCCTTATGACGGCTCCATATATTCAGTTCCAGCAGATGTTATTCAGGCAGCGCCCCTCCGCAACATTTCTGAGTTTGTACTTTCTGGAACGAAAAGGCAACCAAAGAAGGACCGAGAAGCGCAATATAAGCAGTTGGCAACCCGAGATCAGGGCACCCTCTGTTGCATCGCCTGAGCAAGAGATATTATCAAGACTGGGCAATTGGCTCAATTTCTTAAACCATCGGTTTCCCAAGCAGTGTGGTCACTGTAGCCGATGGAACATGCTTGCCATTCGTGATGCCAAGGACCCTCCAGTTTGAAGGCCTCTTGAAAAAGCTTCACCACGAGCGCGCAGGGCTGAGAATTCATTTGTCGCGTATTGCATTGTAGTTGACGAGCTAAGATGAGTCTATAATTCTCTTTGCAAATGTGGCTTGGAAGTCAGGTTTCTCCCACGATGCCAAGTTTCTTTGCCAAGAGCTGTTCCGGCCCCGGCTTTTGTGGTCAGTCACCACTCTGCCGGCTGCTCTGCTGCCAGTGCCGGCCGAAAGCCCTTTTGAACAAAGAACCTCCGATGTCATTTTCCGAGCATGTGCTAGTGCAGCTGACGTTGACGTTGTAGGTCCGGCTTGGGGGCGAGCACACTCACATTTGTGGACCGGTGTTGTGGGGCAGTCGCCTTCCGCAGCTTTCCGTTCGAATCTAGGCACGTGTCACGGCGACCAGGGCAAAAGCGCTCCATCACCCTTAGAAAGGGCGTCAAGGGTGGGCATGTCGTCCATGCACAAGTAGTGTGAATACTTACGATGGAGGATGTCTGTTGTTGGCGTTTGTCGGTATCTGCAATGTGTCTGCACAAGGGACGATTTCGATGCTTCGTCCGAAGGGAATATCAACTTGCTGTGGGACTGAACCTAGCAAGGCGTGCTGCGGCAAGCGAAACTAGCTGAGGTACTGCGCGCGTTTGCAGCTGGCGCTGTTGCAAAACGTGGAGGACAACCTCGTCCGCGAGCAAGCCCAGTTCGACTTGGCAAGGGCCTCTGTTGCAGCAGGAAGACAAGTACATGACTGCGCATCAACTCTTTTTGCAAGAAAATGTGTTGACGACAGAAGAGTACGCGTCAGTATACTCAGAATTTTACAGACCGTTTCACCGAAAGCTCACACTGCCAGAGCCTGCGCAATTTGCATCCCATGCGGCCAAGGCAGCTGCACAACAGACAGTGCAGGCGTGCGATGCGCGATTCAACGTGAGAACCTCTGTTGGAGTTGCAGTGAAGTAATTGGTCGGTCGGAAGTGAATCAATCATAAAGCAGTAGTCGACAAAGATTTTCCATGAGCGACGTAAGACCCGTGCTCTCAGGCTTTCTCTGCAGAAGTCCAGAAGGCAAAAGGAGAGCAGGCGCGTGTCCGGGAGCTGGCCTTCGAACGTGGTTCAGTTTGGGAATCTATGCAAGGACGATCGGGTGCGATCCGAGAAAGAGGCGCGGACCATGACTGTCTTGTCATATCTTGAGGCATCTTTGCCAAGTGTAATCTTGCTGTCAGGTCTCCTCGGCCCAATATTTCAGGCAGGCATTTGCAAACTCGACCCTCGAGGCAAACGCACGATCCCCGAAGTTTGAAGCTAAGTCCCGCCTCAAAGCATCTCCAGCCCAGGCCATTACCGCCCTTCTCCAGCCTCCACCTCAGTGCTGAAGCCAACGCGACGACTCCTCTAGCACTGTGCACGCGCGGTTCCCTTCTTTGCCAGGCTGTTCCGCAGGAAGAAGGAGCCGCTGAATCGAGTGCACGACTCACTCACTGCCCAATTACCAGCACAGCATCCTAGCGGTCGTGGCGCAGCCCGAATCTGTCTCACTCAAATCTCAGGCCAAGTCATTTGCTTCAGAGAAAGAAGAGACTGGGCGGATGCGAAGAAGCGCCGACGGCTCTGTACCGGAAGAGACCTGCAGAGAGCAAGGATGCTATTTCTGTCTCGTCACTCTCTCTCTCTCTCTCTCTCTCTCTCTCGCTCCCTTTTCGTTCTCTCCCGCTCTCTCGCACAATCATCCCACTGAGGCCTCGACGGTGGGAATCCCCAACAAGGGGGTGCCCGGCTTCAACCTCCTGGAGGTCTCAGATGTCCAGTTTGAAATCCCTTCAGAAACATTCAGAAACCAAGGAAGCGGCCGCCGATCCCTACCTGGATCTGGGAGTCGAGCCCGAGACCTGAACGCAAAGCCCCAGAACACCATGAGCATACCAGAAACCGTCAGAATCCATGGCTTTCTACACTGAGCTCTCTGAGGCCTAAGGAGAAGCAACTCCAAGTTGAGGACGACATCAAGTTCGAGGCCTTGTGGCCTTGTGCTGTTGGCGAAACACTGGGATGGTCCTTGTTCTCCCGGAAGGACTGCCCAGAGGGAGTTGACGAGGACGGCCTCGACCATGACTTATGCCTGATGCGGCCTGTAGATGCGAAAATGAGGAGAGCTTCAACCGAATGCTTGAGCTTCGGGCAGAGAAGCTTCGAGCAGAGGCTGAGGTTGCACGTGGTGTCGGAGCCACAGCACTCGAGCTAAACTACACCTCCGGTTTGCCCTCGCCTGAAGCCGAAGGCTGCTGTTCTCAATGAGATGGGCGGCTTCCTTGGCCACCTGGAGCGCGAGCCAGCTGCTCAGCACTTCTCGTGGGGTGTCTGTGGCGGTGTCTACGCTGTTTTTCTGCAGGTGTATGGAGGCCAAAGCCGAAAATGACCGGCTCGAGAGGGAGCTCCGAGAGCACAAGGACACCGCCGAAGTTCACTTGTGCTTTCGGCCCTGCAAGCACAAAATCGCGTTGAGTCCTTGAGCTCTTTCTTTCAGGCGCTGATGGGCCGAGAACTCTACGACATCGAAATCCTCTTCAAGCTGAAGCAGGGTCAGGCAGATTCGGAAGCTTAATATCAGTAGGATAGGTTCGTTGAGAAGCCTGACCCAGGTCGAAGTCCCACAGGCAGCCGTGGTCACGGACTACTCAGACGCCATTGTAATCGATCAGGAGGTGCGATACAGACAGGCGAAACGTCGGTCATCAAGCGGAGAAAGTCTCGGACAGGTCGTGGAGTCACGCAATCGGCGGATCACGGAGCTGGGCAAGGACAAGGTGCACATCCTCACGAAGATCAAGGAGCCTCAGACCTAAGATGTAGACTGGTAGACTGGCCTTCTAGCAGTGCTCCCGCGGCGCGAGGAGTTCAGAAAGTCTTTAAGCACACTGGACTGGGAGCATGAGATGTTGGCGCTTCAGACGACGGATCTCGAGGCAAGGCCTGTCCAAGACATGTGTTGTGGATGTGGTCACCATTGCCTCAACAGGAGCGTACCAAAGATGTACACATGCTTCGAGTGACAAAGGCTGGTGATAGGCTGCGCGCGCGTGTGTGCGTGCCGAATCTTCTGATGCGTCGCTTCCAGGATTTGCAGTCGCTGCTGAAGGGAGGTGAGGAAGGCCTGGCATACGCACGTGCATCGCAAGTGCATTGCTTGCAGCTTCCAGGCAGAAATAAGGCGGAATCGGATCTGCTGGAACGTGGGTTGCTGAGTTTCAGTGCATAGGAAATCTTCATTGCACCATGTAGTCTGCAATAGCTTACTCCTGGCAGCCGCCAGCGCTGCAATGCTGCAGCAATGGTCCAGCTGTGGCCATTGCAAACCATTCCGAGGCAAGATCGAGCATCTAAGCGAAGCGACCGAGAAGAAAGAGCAGGCATCATCAGCTGGTTCGCTGTGATGCCTTATGTGCGACTTCGTGCGACTGCATCTCAAGGCATTGAAGAAGCAGTATTCGATGCTTGCCCATGCAGCCAAGCTCAGTGGCTTGGCGACATGAAGCTTCAGACGTGGGAGTGGGAGATGATGCAAGAGCCGCAGCAACAACACCATGATCTTTGACTCTTGAGCTGCGTTGCTTAGGAAAGAACGAGAATGGAATGCTCGAGAAGCCCCACTCTCGAAATTTCATGCTGCATTGCCAATTGCTGTCTGCTGGGCTGGGCTGCTTCACAGCATGTGGGGTAATTGCAGCCAGGAAGCTTCGAGAACTCCAGCAGAATGTGATTCAGCGGGAGCACATTCGACGCCTGCGTGCGCCCTCCGGCCAACCACAAAAGACAGGAGGTGGTGGTCGCGTTGAGGACCGTCTCCTTTCACCAGTAATTGCCCGTGAAGCCCTTAGCTATTGTCAAGCTCGTCTTCATTTCAAGGGAGCGAGCTGTCCATTAATGGCGTCAGTTGCTGTCTCCTGTCCCTGCGTCACCCCCGCTCTCTCCCTGTCTCTCTCCCTCGTACTCTGCCCAACCTCCCTCGCAGGCTGTGCCCGGGCTTGTCATTGTGCTTGCGCCTTGCGCTGGACGGGTGCGGTAGTCAATATTGCTTTTCCTTTCGTGAAGATGCCCGTTTCAATATGCGGACAACCATACTAACATACATCAAGAACAACTCTCAGGGATCAGGGGCACACAGCCAGCAATCGCAGCAACGGAAGCATGACCTGTATGCATGCTCTCGGAACCCAAATCGGCGCCGAAAAGCAGATCCGCAACGATTAGAGATGCGCAACACGGCGGCGCGGCCTCCAGTTCCTCAGCAAAGCCCTGTTCACCTCCAGCCCACATGAACTGTCATGATTTTCTTCGACTCGGTTCTTGTAGCGCACCCCTGCTCGTCCGTTTCTTTATTTTTTGCCGGGCTTCCAGTTTCGTTGCCGTCATGAACACGATGGGGGCTCCATTTTGTGAACCATTGAAACACGAGCGAAAATTCACATGAGAAGACCAGGACATTTGGAGTGGGAATCTCTGCTCCGCTTGTCAGGAAGATGAGGGTGCAGCTAAGGCAGCCCACGCTGCCTTCAAAGAGGCCCTGACCTCGCTGTTCTTTTTTGTTCAGTGGGCAATGCATGCAGAGATGCTTAGACCATTTCATTGGTTTCTCCTCCTGTGAAAGCGCCGGATGCTCAGTTGAGAAGCCGACAGAAGCTGATGGAGGTGGCCATCATCTCAGCATCTCAGTTGCTGCCTGCTCTGCATCTTTAGTTTAAGTCTTTACCAGGCACATATGACTGCTGAGGCCAAGAAGAACACGGAGGAAATCGAGATCCTGCACAAGGACCTTCATCACTTTCCCAACCCCATGTTGTAATACTGTCCCGACATCATCCGATGTCCCAGAGGACCTTCCGTCTTTGCAGAGGGTTTCTATCCGATCTTAAGCCCTGTAAAATGTCCTAAAAACCTCTGTTTTCTTTTGAAAAAAGCGTATCCCTTCCTGGCTCAGTCCCTGAGGAGCTGGACCGCCTGCGACAGAGAACCTTCCCCTCTTTCGTCCAGCTCCACGAGGCCGGGCCGGGGGGGCGGCGGGGCGGGGGTGGGGGGGGGGTTCGCGAGCCCGAAACTCCTCTTTCCGCAGTTTAGGGTGATTTAGGGTTTCTCTTAGGATCTACACTGCAGGATCGACCGGCGAACCCGGACCATCGCTGAAACCTTGCGAGATGGAACAAGTTGTACATACCAGAGCGCAGACGAAACGTGGCAATGCAGTTGCCGCCCAGTCAGCAGCCCATTCGTGCATGACCCAATTTAACAGTTTCACGAAATTCCTCGTATCACATTTTCACCTTCCAGCCCGGGCAATCATAAGACTTCTTCGAGAGCTTGGTTTCGAAGAGCTACAGCCCGTGCAAAGTAGAATAGGCGTGGTGTTGGAATGTGGCGCTGCCAAGACGGTGAGGTCACGCCAGCAGTGTAGTGAAGTGTGGTGGAGACGGCGGCAGGAACGATGCAAGCAGGTTAAAAGCCAGGATGGGCACCGGCGAGACGGCGAGCATTCTGCATGATATCGATATCGCTGTACTGGGGACGACACCACAGGAACTTGGCGATGCAAGCAGTGAGTAGCACTGGACGGTCGACGACATTTATGGTTTCAGCAAGATAAAAGCAAGAGTATAGAGGTATAGCCAGATTCGTGGGCCAGTGTAGTAACGGTACAACTGCTGTGACAATGAGTGAGGACGCCTTGCAACATTGCCAGGACATGACTGTGCTGAAGAGAGGTCTAGCGAGCAAGCCGTCTTGCTCCCCTTACAAGGCTTCTCTCTGTGGTACTGGTACCTGGTCGTGGTTTCCCTTTGTGTCTCGATTACTCTGTTCCATTGGCGTTTAAAGATGTGAGTGGGTACTTCTTGAAGACTGTTCTGCTTAGGAGATGGAGTCCAAAGCAGCTAGGCAACCTCAGGTAAAGGGCAGAAGCACTCTTGAGCTTATACAGTGACAAAATCTAGATTGTGGAATGCGTTCAGTGTCCCTCGGTGAGTTTTGGCTCAGGCATCATTGCCAGCACCGGTGCTTGACTCCCTGTAGTCAGCCACGCCTTGTTGACAATCCCGGAGTTTTCATGATGAACACGAGCCTGTTGATGTGTCGTATCTCTCGCTCTTCCGTCGGAGTCGGAGCCAGTGTCTTGGTCGTGCTGGCATCTGGTCAGCACTGGCATGGGCATCGGATGGGCGAGACCTGGCAATGGTTCAGAATACCGGAAAGTGTAACCTTTCTGTCAAAGAAGCTCAGTGGAGTTTGATGAAGAAAGCCGTGGCTAAGGCCTAGGTCCAGAACGCTAGCCGCTAATCTGGTTTTGGAAGCATAGGATCTCCGGTATCCATTGTGACGAGACAACCAGCACTGTCACCACTGTTACCTTCCACTGCTACCACAATCGCTACCAGCAGTACCCACACCACCGGCACTGCCACCACCACTGCAACTACCATGGGTACCACAGCGGTGCCGTGCTTCTCGATCAAGAACTGGCATTGTTGCTGGTTGCTTGAGCGGACTTTCCTGTGGCCGAAGCCATCAAGCTGCTTCATCACTTGAAGTCGTGTGAAATGCCGGCGGCTTCGGGCTTGGCGAGTACGTCCCAGGTGCCAATACCAACTTGGTTACAACCGAGCGGCAGCGTTTTGGTGTGCTACCTTGAACGAGCCGTGTTTGAGTATGTCTCTTGAGCACCTTCAGACCCTCACTACACATCGCCGCATTTATTCGCTTGGGGAACTGTAGAGCGAGGTTTCAAAGTGTAAAGTGTACAGAGGCTTGTTGCTAAGCCTGTGGAGCATCATACCTTGAAGCTGCCCACAGACGCCTGAGTAATGACTGCACATTTGCAGAGCGATTTTTGGAAACGAGGAGCAGTCCTAGTTCGTAAGACAAGCTGTCGAAGACTGCGGAGACACTGTACACATCAGGGACCGTGCAGACTGTAGAAGACAACAAGTCAGTCCAATCTGCCACGCAGTCATGCAGCCGGTCCTATGTGCAAGCATGGCGATAACGTGATTTAAAACATTCTTGGGAGCTGGCAGAAACTGCATGCTCTTGTGTGTTTCAAAATTTGGATCAGTCTGGTGCCCAGCTTCTCAATTCGGCTTGCGAAAACCAACAGCGAGGCTCCACGCTTTGAGGCTTTGCAAAACGACAAGGTGGAAACGTGTGAACTCGCTGCAAGTATATCTCAGCAGCGGGCCGAGCCGAATCCCGGGCGCCTGTAGCAGGCGGGGCCCGGGACGTCGGTGATGCTTTCACAGCCCTCGTTTCGAGAAGACATCGGTTTCGACGTGACATAGAGCCCTGGATTGGGAAGGCGTCAAGCGGGCAGAAAGGAAGCATGCGGATCGAGAAGTTGGCACCTCAGAGTGGGGACAACATAATTCAATAGAAAGCGAATGTACAAGTTTCCTCGTCTCGACTTGGTTGCGCTCAGCTCCACGGGAGATGAACCATTATCGTTAACACTATGCGCACTCTGTTGTTCTCACAAGTGTCGCCAGTTGTCCTGCCCCAGCAGTTTTCTTGGCCAAGGTGCTGGTTCTGCTCCAGCAGCATCTACCCTGGTCACGGCATTCAGCTTCCCGGCTATCTTTAGCGGGAGTCGTGGGAGTTGCTGGGCCATCGAAGACAGACATGAGGTTTGTGCGAAACGACTGCAAGACCTTTCGCTTCTGCCGCTCCTGGCCTGCACTCAAAACCAACTTTGTCGGCTGGCAAACCTTTCCCCAACCAGTTCATGGAGGCGTTTGTGTTAATGTTAATACGGAAGAGAATGTCGACCATTGCTTGCTGGGCTCACAATCCACCATGGCTCTGGTTTGGCTTCAACTGTTTGAGGTTTTCGGTGGTGTAACTGGAATGTTTAGCATCAGAGCTTGCTTCCTTGGCATCAGGCTCAAAGTGTCACAAGCACTTCAAGATGAAGCACAATCCTCGTAAGTTGAAGTGGACCAAGGCCATGGGCCCGGTTTCTGGAGCTCAAGCGTCTCCTTTCCTGTGCTCAGGCATATAGACGTGCACGTGGGAAGGACGTGTTCAGACTCTACTGGACGAAGTGACGTCCTCTCAGAAGCACATCATTTCCACTGCAGGAGATGGTCGTTGATTCTACTTTCAACTTCGAGAAGAAGCGACTCACGCCCACCAGGCCACGTGGATGACTAATTTGGGAATTCTGCCTGTCTGCTGTTTGCGGTTACAGTCTATGGTATGTCTGTCAGTTGACAGTTGATGGTGAAGGTATAACCGGAATTTGATGGTCAAGACGGCATCATGCTGAGATGCAGCGCCTGCTTTCATTGCAGCAATATGCCGGGATGTGCTGCTGCTGGTCCAAGGTGCGAGCCATGCAGATCGTAGAAAGGATCAGGTCTGTGCGGAAGGAGCTGGAGACCAAGAGAGATTATCTTGCGAGATGGCGACAGTTTATTACCTGCCTCATACCATCAATTTGCGGGGAGAGAGACGAGACCTCGGTGGTTATGTTCCTGCTTCTGGCACACCGAGGCGCTTCCACAAGGCTCGGTTGGCCGCGCAACTCAGGCGAGAAGCAGACGCGTGTGGCACGGGCGTGCATGTCCCAACAACGCGATGTTCTTGCATCGGTTGCAGTCAGTACGAGACTGGCTTGCACCTGATTTCACTGCGACCTGTTCAGGAAACGGCAGACGAGTGCACAGAAGGAAATTGTTTGAAGCTCAGTATTTCGCAGAGCATCTTGAGTTTCAGTTGGCCACAAGCTCTGCCTCATGCCGCCACCATAGGCGAAGAGTGAACACCTCTTGGAAGGGCCGAACAAAGAAAAGGCCCTGCGTTACCAGAAGGACTGTGCCAACACTTCAAAATTTAAAGCCCGCTCCTCTGTCACGGATGAGTTTTCTTCTGGGTTGGCAGTTGGCAGCATCGAAGTGGCCGCAGGAGTTCTCGGGATCTACAAAAGCAAAGGCGAGACAGAAGGTCAAGGCGGGCTGAAAGGAAGCAGCAGAGGACAAAGACAAGACGAGAGCACGAGAGCACGAGAGCAGACAGGTCGAGAAGGCGGCTGGCGGCTCCATGGAAGTAGAAGAGTAAAAGTCGTCCACAGACCAAGCGCGCATCCCATCTCACGACATCTGTACATAATCAAGCTGGACCGCTTCGTCAGCTTTCTAATCGATCTGAAGCTGCTGCCTGCTGGATCCGCTATAAGCCCCTCTGCGGCATCGCGTTTGCACGTGGCTGTGCTGCTGTGTTCCAAGAGCATTGCAGACTGCGCACTGCACAAGTGTAAGACCAAAACTCAGTTTCGGCTGTGCTGCACTGCAGGCAAGATGAGGCGTACTAATTTAGTGTCTACCAACAGACTGGCTGTCAGACAGTGCGAGCACAGACGTGGATTCGTGTGACCGCTCGAAAAGGCTGTAAGGCTTCCATGTATGCCAGCTCACCGATGAGCCGTGAGCTGTCTGACCTCTGACTTTATTTATCCAGCACAGTGCTCAAGCAAAGGCACAGGAATTGGAAGCATTTCGAATGCAAAGAGTGCGGAGATTCGTGAGAAGGAGTGGCCAACTATTTTGAGCACCCAGGGAGGGGACAACGTTTGGTCAATTTCGGGTCCAGCCGTGCCTTGAGCAGACATGGCGACCATGGCGACCTGGCTGATACTCTGCAAAAGCCGTGCTAACAAATTAGCAAACACTCCTGCCTTTGTCATCCCTGAAGGTTCCCGGTCGGAAGCCGCGACAAAAGGAGAGCAAAGAAAGCAAAGGGATCCCAGCGCAGCAATCCCGGCATTCTTTTGCCCTGGACTCCACCGAAAAAGAAGTTCTGCAGGCTTACCAAGAACGAGGTTATCCAAATAACCGCTGCGGAAGCTGAGCTCTCGCCCAGCCCACAGGATTCGCCTTGGAGCACACACCTCGCCATTTCAAAAGCACACTCCACCAGGCCGTTCCAGGATGAGAAGCTGGAGATCTACTGCAGAGAGCAGGGGCCTATATTTCTGTAACCTACGCGCTTCTCGTGCCCAACATTATCCAGGCATGATGACATCGCTGCTTCCTTCGCAGCAGCACGCGAGGCACATTAGCACCCGGTCTCCTGGAAGTGTTTCAGACACGACTTCTCTTCGTCAGGGCCGCGGCGTGCTAGCAAAGTTGTATGACCAGCGGAACAAAGAGGCGGGACTGATCTCCTTAGCACACCTACACAAGTAATTTCATTCAGATGTGTGCAGGCGTTCGGAGCATGCGATGCGGAACTCTAGTCTATGCTGAACTTCACAGATCTTGGACCGCTTGGTGGCCATGCGGGCGAAGTCGGACAGAGAAGCGAAGCTGAATCTCGACCAGCTCAAGGCAGGCACGGGCATGGCAAGCTTTGTGTCGATCTTTTTGAGCCACCCGTGCCGCCTCATGTTCAGGACTTTTGCAAGGAGTTCGTGGACACCGTGGCTGAGCGCAAAAGAGCATGGAAGCAGAATTTTGCCTGCGCCCCAGTCCGATGTGCCCACTCCGCATTCTGAGTCGAAGAGAGATTTCAAGCGACTGCCGAAGTTTGCCACCCTGTTGAGGCTGATGACAAAAGCGAGCTCACGACGCGATCTACCAAAATGGGTGGAGCCCTTAGTTTCCCAACCTCCATCCGTGCACTGAGGCATCAATGCACTGAGAATTACAGTTAAGGTGAAACCATCACGACCTTGGATGCGGCCATAGTGCAAGAACATGAGGACTGCACCGGAGGGTTTTGAAGTGCTTTTCTCAGTTGACTGTTGCTTTCCCTGGGATGGTCGGCACAGAGAGGTCAGCAAAAAATGGCTTTGGCTTTCAGCCCTTTCGTTGGCACAGGATTGCCTTGCTCACGCGGCCGCTGAGACAGAACCTTTGCTGGCCGCTTTGAGCAAGTGCAGGGCTCGGCCTCTTGTTAGCGCTGAAGGCTGAGAGGACTTACAGGCATCCACATCGAAGCTCTACGAAGCTTTTTCAAATCCCTCAAGCCTGGGATGTGGACATCCCAACTCGGAATGTGTTCTTGATCTTCGGTACGTGCCCGGATTCTCAGAGCATTACACCATGGCGGTCTGTCTGTCTGCGTGTCTGTGTCTGTCTGTCTCTGTCTGTCTCTGTCTGTGTCTGTCTGTGTCTGTCTCTGTCTGTCTCTGTCTCTGTCTCTGTCTCTGTCTCTGTCTCTGTCTCCGTCTGCCTGTCTCTGTCTGTCTCTGTCTGTCTCTGTCTGTCTCTGTCTGTGTCTGTCTGTCTGCGTGTCTGTCTCTGTCTGTCTGTCTGTGTCTGTCTGTGTCTGTCTGTGTCTGTCTGTGTCTGTCTGTGTCTGTCTGTGTCTGTCTGTGTCTGTCTGTCTGTCTCTGTCTCTGTCTCTCTGTCTGTC